TTTCCCTGAAATGTCAACACATGGTATCAGGAAAAGTTAATTGGTTGCTCTTTGGCCTATTCCACTCTTCAGGGATTTGCTCTCTCCTTGGGGATACCTATTGGCTTCCCATATACTGCTTGTCAGGGAGATACAAGCAGACACACAATTTATTTGCTTGCTGCCCTCTACACGGAATAAAACCAATTCCTGCCTTTGTACTTTCTGCTATTTGGATATGGAGGGAGTGTGCGATGACATCAAATCAGAAAATATTTGAATTAGATACAGGCAGGATCCTATTCTATCTCAAACACTAAAGTTTGTCCTCACTCTTCCAAGAATTCTTTTTAATTGCTAGGCATTCTTGACCATAACCTCTCTATACACAGCACTCAAAAAGTCAAGGATAGGGGAGATTAATTCTGCTTCTACTACTTCTTTGCAGCTTCTCTGTCCAGTGACACTTGGGATACTTTTAGCTCTGTTGAACCTCTTATACTGGTGTCTGGCAAATGTTCCATTTACCAAGTTGCAGCTGGGTCAGCTTTGTCTGCTTGAAACTTGACAACCAACAGCATGAAAACTAGAAATAAAAGGTAGGAAGGAGAACATTCATCCCGATAGCTTAAGGAATAAACAAGAAAAAAGAACCACGCAATAACCATTTGATTTATTGATGGAAAATTCAGTTCTGTAGCTTCTTGTGTTTAACTGTCCTTTGAATTCTTTGCTTGTTTGCTTTAAGTATTACAACATTAAGGTCAAAAATAGAAGAGTTCTATGCCCTCTTATATTTGGCAGTAGCGCTATTGGGATTTTTTTCTCCAGTTTTAATGGTTGACTTCTGAAAAAGAGGGCACCAATCTTTCTGTTTAGAAATTTAATCTTCAATTAAAAGCCTTAATCTGTAGTATACACTCTGCTTCAAGTGACTTTCCACATGTTCTGTTTTCAATATGTTATATGATTAACACATGATATTCATCATGAAGTTGAACCCTGGTTCAGATTCTGACTTACTTTCTCCTTACAGTCAACATAAATAAGATTACAGAGTCAAGCTAAAAGTCAGAAATTCAAATTTTTGTACAATACTTAAGACAATAGTGCCTTAATGTAAAAAGAGAAAGGAAGGTACAATTCCAAAGTCCTGTATGTAGCCTGCCTATATTTGCAATCTTAGATTATTATTTTCTTCTGAGAGTTTTGCTCCATCTTGTGTTGAGCCAGGAAACAACAAATAATCAGAGAATGAAGTGCTCTAAAATATTCCTGTTCAATTGATGGCCATTTGGAGTTGTAATGGCAATACAACTTTTGAATTTGTTTCTAATTTCTTTCAGAAAGTTAAAAAAAAAAAAAATTGAAACTGGAGGTAAATTAGTAAACCGTGCCAGGATCAGGGCACTATTTGAATAATGAACCCAAAAGGTGACATCAAGAAAGAGCAACTTTGGTGTAATGGATAAGTGCTGGATTAGAAATTGATGGACTGTGAATTCTAATCCTGCCTTAGATATGAAAGCCAGTGGAGAGACTTTGGGCCAGTCACTCTCTCTTAGCCCAAACAAGATTGTTTTTGTGGGGAAAATGAGAAGTGATGTCATTATCTATGCTCAGTTGAATCATGCAAAATAAAGGAGGGATGTAAATCAATAAATATCAAAATTGTATCTGGACTAATCTTGTAGAACTCTTTAAGCCTACCTTCTAACTCTAGCTATGGATTGCCACACTCAGAATTCCCAAATAATGCAATATGTCACCTGGAAGGAGACTTTGTATATGGACTTTCTGATGCTATTTGAAGTGGCCCCTTAATGGGAATGGATATTTGCTTCTAAAAGATCAGTAATAAATTGTAGTAATAACTAGTTTGTATATATAAACTCTATATTATAATAACCATAATTACATTTTTTCCTTTGAATAACTCATAAAATCACTTCAAAATTCTGTACTAGAAGATTACAGGTATTGGATTTCCTTAGCTTTAAATTAATTTGGAGGGTTAATAATCCATCAAACAATAACAATGGAGGGGGGATTATTCCATCTTTAGTCTGCAGAACACCGATCCAGAAAGTCTTTCCTTACATTTTGCATTCAGATATACCAATAGCCTAGGGGTGGATTGTACTTACCTTTACTAAGGTAAAGGTTCGCAGCGAGGCCACGCGCTAGTTCTATAGAACCGGTGTGAACTGGGGGCAACCCACCACTGCTATAGCCCCTTGATTATCTTGTGACTACAGATTTATATCCTCCTTTAAAATGAAGTTTTCCAGATCATTACTGGACTCAGAAGCATTAGTAGAAATCTTCCTGATAATTGCTGCAGCTCCAATTGCTTAACACACACTTTTATATGCTCTGACAAAAAGTCACACAGCATAAGAAGCCGTGAGAAACTGTTAATTATGCATTATTTGTTATTGGGATACAAACTGATAATTCCTGTATCATTTAAGGATTTTGTCACTCAAAATTTGCTGTTCCACAAGAATAAAACTTGTCGGATCAGAGCAGCCTTTATGAAATTGTTGAGACAGAATCCAATGGTGCATTTATATTAACAAAAATAGTTTTCATGCATGATGTAGAAGAGGTGAATCTCTCTGCCTAGGGAACCTTTGAAAACAGACTGTTAGATTTATAGAGGGAAAAAATAGAGTTTTTGAAGATAGAGGTCCATAAGGCTGAATTTCACTCTTTCTTGATGTATTTTGACAAAAAGTTGAAAAATCTCAAGCAGAATATAAAACACTGTCACTTTCAAATATTTCAGTCTCAAAACAGGTCTTTTTTTTTTTTTTTTACTGTTCTGAGTTCCATTTAAAAGAAGTTATTTTTAGTAACTTTGTTCAGAGATCAAAACACCACCTATATATGACAAAACAAATTGCATTACTTGCAATGGCTGCAAGGGAGATAGGAAAGCAGATGCTGACAGGGACAGATAGTATGGTTAATATGAGGGGGAATGAATTGAACTGAAAAATAAAACCTGGTCTTTAGTGCCATATAATGATCAGGTGGTTTGTGTTAGTTTGTAATCAGATTGCTTTCTTCCAAACTTTTGCTAGACTTAGCTACTACCAAGAAAGAATCAGAGATAAGCCTATCCTGCCAGCTTACCAGGTAAATGCTGTTTTTAAAAAATGATTTGTGAAAGTTCATGCAGATAAGGTAAATGGATTGTGTTGTGATTTTGTACACAAATAGCCAACTCTGGCTAATCCTCCCAAAACCTACATATAATCAAATCTAGTTAGTGCTTAAGTGAAAGACCATCAAGAAACTCAAGGATAGTAAGCTAGACTGGGAAGTTACAACAATATATCAACAGGAAGCAACAGCTAAATCACTTGACATCATTGCTAAGAAACTATTTTAATAGTCAAAAGTTGAGTTTTGAGTCTTTAGCTTAAAGACCTGCACATGTAGGTGTAGTATTATGCTTTAAATACAAATGTTGCTAATGTGTTCAGGTAATGAAAATACATATTTGTATTTAACATTTGTAGAGATTTGATGTATATGTCTGTGTACACATATATAGTATGTTCTTTGTGCATGTACACGTGCCCTTTGCATTCCTTGAGTGGAGTGTTTTTTTTTGTTGTTGTTTTTTGGAGAAGATATCCACAAATATTCTTCAGTCCTGGTGAGCTTCCAGACATCATTTTAAAATGCCCAAACTGCAAAACTGACATTGCTTTGGGATTCTTGGTAAACCAGATCTAATCTTTTTCTTCAGTGCTACAGTATGTGGAGTTTAATTTTTCATGACTGAACTCTCAGCCTCTGCAACTGTTTCCTTTGTCCTTGTGAGCTCCAGCATGTTTTGCTTCCCAACTGTGGCAATACTCTATATACAGTCCTCGACTTATGAACAGAAGTGAGGCCAAAATTTCTGTTGCTAACCAATTGTTAAGTGAGTTTTGCCTAATGTTATGACCTTTCTTGACAGTTATGTAAAGCGCTGCAATTGTTAAGTTAGTAACATGGTTGTTAAGTGAATCTGGCTTCTCCGTTGACTTTGCTTCTCAGAAGGTTTTAAAAAATGATCACATGAGCCCGCTGCCCGTTGAACCAGTGCCAGGAGTCCAAACTTTGATTACATAATCATGGCGATGCTGCAACAGTTATGTGAAAACAGGTCATGTCACTTTTTTCAATGCCATTGCAACTTCAAATGGTCACTAAATGAATGGTTGTAAGTCAAGGACTACCTGTATGTTATTTCCATAGTTCTATAGTGCCATCAAGTTATATTCATTAACACCAAAATTAAAACCCAGGTTGAAGCATAAACTCATTTTTAACTTTTTGAGAACAAAAAAATGTTCAATTACTGTTCTTTCACAGATTTTTAATGTTTTTTTTAAATCATCCACTGACAATTTTTTTTTCTGCAAGTTGTATGTCTGATATCAGTCAGCTTGATTACCATCCCATCTACCCTTCTTGTACTGATATTGTTAAATTTCTTCCAAATTGGTTTGCCATAATTTTCTCCTTGCAACTTTTTTAGTGCTAGCCTAAAATATTGTGGGCAACATTTTAAAGGTTTTGGGCATCATTTTCCTTCTTATCTATCCTGAACAGAGATATTTTCTATAGTGCTTTAAGCCAGAGTATATCATACTGCAGAATTGGGTTTGTCTTCAGTTTCTTAAAACTCCTTATGACAAATGTTCATCTGTCAACCAATCTCTTCGATTGGCAAAATCAATGAACTGGGTGCATCATAGGATTCTATTTTTAAGATTGAAGTATTCCCCATTAAAATATTAAGTATTTGTTTTGGCCATATTTTGCTTGTTAGCTACTCTTCTTTTCTCTTGAAGCCACTACATTAATGCAAGATAAGGATTCTGTGTCTCTCCTCCAGTTCTCAGCAACTTAATCAAGTCACTAAGCTGACATTAGAATCTGATAACACAGGAAATGTAAATAGCCTTAACAAAGAATAAAGCTGGGCTGGTTCACTCCTATAATTCACAAACCAAAGCAACAAGCAACAGTTTTTTTTTATTATGTCTTTCAAACCTTTATCATATTTGTTTTAAGCAAGAGACAAAAGTGTCTTGAGGCCCAGAAGGAAAAATGGCCATCTGAATTTAATGATAATACATTAAGAGGAGATAAAATTGGAAAATAGTTACACAAGTACATGAGCCAAAAAAAAGAGAAAAAGTTTATATGAGAAGGGTACTGTCAAGCATGCAACAGTATAAATGCCTTGTCCTGAGGAGAGGTGGAGTGAGGGCTGAAACACAAAATTAACTGTAAATATCATACAGCCTTTCTCTGGTCACTTCCTTTTTGGTTCCTTCTTCAGGCGTGCTGGTGATGACCAATCCCTGATCCACTGAATCTTAGAAACTATCCAGTGGAATGAACCTAAGTGACTAGGTTATCAAGAATATAGGTTAAAGGTTTTCATTTTCTCAGCCCATCAAAGCAACTTTAAACCTTAACATCACTAAAATCCAGAGCTATATGCAGCCAAAATATCTTGATGCCTGAGACAGGAACTCCACATATCACCTTTCTATTCATTTATAGAGGATATCGGGAATGGTTTTGTGCAAACCTCAAACAAATGAAGTGAAGAGAAGAATTCCTTTTGTATTACCATTCATTTCACAGGTGCCTGCTTAGGGGAACTTCCCAAAACTTTAGATAGTGGGTCTCAATGGCATTGTCACAGACATGACACCTCTATCTGAGCTGGCCAGTTTATATACGGTACCTTTGGCTACACACTTTATTTGGCTCCCTTCTATCTTTTTACTGCAAATTTTAATTTTCAAAAGGGTTTTCTTCAGCTTTGAACAAGCTCACCATCTTTTTAAGACTCGGTGTGACACTACAAAGATACTAGACGAAATATGTAAGCACCAGGATTCTGGCACCACCGGTTCTTAGCTCATACAACCTTCCTTAAAGCCTTGGTGCTCTTCACAAGTCCCTGTTACAAATGTAAAGCATCACAACAAAAAAAGAAAAAAAACCTTGTATAAATAAATAGCACAAAAAAGAATACAATGGCAAGATAAAAATATATAAATATAAATATAAGACAGAATAACAAACTTTAATAAATTAGAAGACTTTCCTCAGGCATGGGAACAGAAATGGAGGAAGGAAATCTAACAGAATTTGGCCACCAGCTTTCAAGTACCATAGGAGGCTCCAAAGATGGAGTATGCAAAATAGAGTTTATGTTATAGCATTTGTACACAGAGATTGGCTGATAAATGATATATCAGCTGTAACATAGTTCTCAAAGTTATGGGGGGGGGGAGAATTTGGACCCCTGTAATAAACCCCAAGCAAGACTCCCCTCTTGGTGTACATCTAGAAGCAGAAATAAGGCATACAGTAGCTTCCGTATTATCACCACTATTTCTGCTATTAAAGAATCATGGCAAAATCCTTATGCAAACCTCACAAAAACCAACAAAGAGCACAAAAGAATTTGTGTTCATTTCACTCAAACTACCAGGCTGTTTCACTGAATTTTAATAACTAGATCAGATCCATCTCCGTGTGGTAGCTGCCTGATAGTCAGATTCTTTGCCTGAGAAACAAATAGGAGAATCTGAATTATAACTTTGTTGTTGGTGATAACAGTAGAGAGGGAAGAAAACCCAGAGCAGCAGGCAGGGATTATAAGGCAAGGAAATTTCAGGGATATCTCAACAGTACAGAGAGGGTCTGTTAAGGTATCTTCTCCTCCTACTGATGTAACCATTTTTTTTTTTTTGCAATATAGCATTAGTCAATTCCATTATTTGCTTCAGAGAACTAATTTAAAACACTAATGAAAGAAAGCAGCAGTGAAAAATAAGCAAATAGAATTATAGAGATTTGGAGAAGCAATATATTTTAAGCATAAACTTTGGATGGTCACTGAAGTCAAGCAATTAATTAAAAGGAGCTGAAAATTCTACAATTATGGCATTACTGCCAGTTGCATGGAGGTTTACTTGTTCTGTTCCTAATCTTTTATGGACATGAAGGATTTACATGCTTTTGAAATATATCAAAGATTTATTTAATCAAAAACAGTATGATGAATTCTCATTTCATAGACTCTCATTTAAAGCCTTTGGATGCAAGAGGCTACATTTCAGTTGGATATCTCTGTGAAATAAGAAACATGTCTGTTGCATCTGAAGTAATCTGAAGAAGGAACTTAAATTCAGGTTAGGTTTACTTATTTTACAGTGTTTGCCTCATAAAGAGATGAATCACAATTTAGTATGTAATTTATGATTTGACATGTGAGATAAAATGAACACCTCTACCTCCCAATCAGTCCAAATTTAAGATTCAAAATAAGTGTACACATACAGCCTATTGAGTCTTACCTCTGTATTCAAACTTGGTGGCAGGTCCAAATTTAATCCTAAAGTAAGTTTTCTGAGCATAGGAAAAGGCACAGGCCGGGCCCATCCTGTCCTCATAAGGAGGGGAAAAAAGCTATCCAGATTGTATACCAGCTGTCCGGAAGTTAAACAAATAACCAAGAGAACCTGGCTGAGACACAGAGACTCCAATAGCACCATGGAGGAAGCAAATCACCAAGGGGGGTCTGTGATCCACCCTCCACAAGTCAGAATAAAGTATGTTGCCTGCAATTTACTTACTGTTGAAAATCAGACCCTTAAAACTAATGCAGCCAATGTGGTTCCAATAGTAACTATTTTGTACTGACAGCCCTGTTAGAAATTTAAGCCGATTAGAAAGGGATAAGCTAAAAAGAAAAGGGGTTCCCACCTGAAAAAATGCCACAGCTTAAACCCAGCAATATTAGCCCTTTACCTACCAATCAAGAATCAAAAGGGAGGAGGTTGGCTTGGGCCAAATAAACTTAACTAAAATGCTTCAGAATTTGTGTTGATTAAAATATATGCCCAAACCAAATTAAAACAGAAAATTAACCTCACACATTGGAAGTCTATGCAATAGCTATTGTTGCTCCATGACATCTTACTGCCTTCTGATCTTTTGAGAAAGTCCATGACTTTTGTCTACCTAAAAGTATTCTATTCAATATTCTACCCAATTCAGTATCACCAGCAGCATATGAAATGCTCACTGTTAGGGAAGCAGTAAAATGTACCCACCTTCACTAGTACTTTGAAATACGCAGATAAATATGGCTTGAGACTTCATATCTGGTCTCAAGTCAGCCTGGACCATCTAAGGACTAGCATAATGTTATCATATCACTTGACCGCTCTTATATTCTCAGATGTCATGTGAGAAGGTTAACATATGGCTTCAAATTCCAACCTCAACTAATTATAGTTTATTACATGCATGTTTTCATGTAAGCTCGCGGTAACACAAAGGGCAAATCATGATGGAAATAGCAATTGATTCTTAGGCAGAAGTCTTTTTTAGAAGAAACAAAAATTTTCATGGAGAAGCATTGTTATAAACTAGATAGGAAGCTAGCTTAGGCAACATGGAGCACAGAAAGAATTGGGGATAGTCTTGATATTTTGGTATTCCCACAGCCTGTCTGGTTGCCCTACAACATCACTAGCTATTGTTACACGAGTTGGAATACCATCAGCATGCATCAGAATCCAGGGCAATTTACACCATGAGTTTTGAACTAGCAGCCCGAGTGGATCTGTGGTTTCAAGATAACTAAAACCAATACAAGAGAGACGTTTGGTTGGAGAAAGACATAGAACCCTACCTATAGAAAAATAGAATATAGTTTAAATGTGTAATGTGATGGTCCCAGATCAGACTATTACACAAAAGGAGAAAGTGTTGAAAAAAAAGTAGAAATGCTAATTGTAATCCATAATACCTGATTCACTTAGGACTTCCAAATGTTGTGTTCATAACTCATACTGTTCATTCAGGAAATAGCTGAGTAAATTAAGAATATGATTTCCTTAAAAGCAAGACATGCTGCTTTCTACATTGCGGGAGGATACACCTCATTAATATCAAAGATCTTAAGGCACCATTTACAGCCATGAGTTGGTAGTAGCACACTTTAACTATCAGTATGGGGAACTCAAATGCCCTTTTCTTGGCCTCTCCAAAAGGCTTGTAGTTTAAATCATTTGATTAAATATCATCATCCCTGCAATTACTCCAACTTCATAAATACCATCGATCCAAACAGGTAAAGAATACTCCACAACAGGGGTTGAAGTCTTCCAGATGTTACAAAATCTCATTCACTCTAGCTAAGAAGGCTAATGAAAAGGGATTGTGAATGTGACAGGTTGGCTTTCCCTACTTTACAGACCTATTTCACCGTTGCTTCATAGGTTACCTTAAATTAAGTTCCAGCTCCTTCTAGTGGCCATTTAATTAAAATGGATTAGAAAAACCCTGCATGCCAGCTTTACCCAATCTATATACAAAGTCTGAGGCTAAGAGGAAAAAGCCAATAGCCATGTGCTTGTATATCCAATATTACTAAGGGAAGACATTTCCCCCTCCCTGTGTCTCAAAATAAAATATTAACAGATGCAGAAGATGCCTAGCTTAAAAGAAATATGGATTCAAACTGCCTGATGATGTTACAGGTAGAAAACTGACCTCAAGGAACACAGCTGGCTGATACCAAGAATTTTGCCTTTCTGCTCAACTGATTAAAGCAGAATGGGAAAAATTATTCTAGGCAGATGACTTTGAACCTAGAAAGAAAAGATGCAACCAACATAGCTCAGATTTGACCTCATTCAACACTGTCTTCAAACTTCAATCTCTTATCACCTCTCTCATTTAGTTTAACTGTAGACAACAGGCAAGAGCAAGAATCTATTTTTACTATAACCCTAAAATAGCCATTGGGGAGAGTCAAAGATTCAAAAATCTTTGGCAGGAAATCAAACTGCACATAGTATTATGTGTTCCCCCTTGGTGTCAGGTTAACAAATAATAGTAGAAATTACTTCTGTCTAGCTGCAAGATACAGAATTTCCTGCTACATATTTTAGAGCTATTATGACAATCTGACACTTTGAGCAAGCATCTGGATTTGAATAGGGCCAGCTAAATCACCTACAAATGAGCCTCACCTATTCAGACATGGTTATATGTGCAGAGAGTCAGTCTTGGATGATATGTTTTTGGGAAGACAACTAATCAAAAGGCACGTGCAAGTACAGCATAAAGTACTGCACACCTCAAATTTATTCTGTTAAGGGCACTTTGGCATCAGGTCTCCACTCTCTGCCCAACCTCTCGTTAAACCGTTGACTCTCCTTCAGATAATTGCCAGTTTTGGAAACATCCAGTGTGTTTTGTTTTTGTTTTTACATGTTTATGGATATTAGGTTTTTTTTTTAAACAATCAAAAGCTACAAGTGGAACAGAAGCCCCGGAAAAAAATGAAGTGCTTTAAAAAAAAAAAAACCTTGGGCCAAAAAACACTGAAATAAGCATATGAGGCATTTTTTTAAAAAGCTGAAGCATCTTTGTAGAACTTCTGATGAGCTCAAACTGCTGGAAAATAAAAAATATACCAGGATGGAACATTAAAAATGTTTTTGGCAAAGCTATGTGGAAGAAAAGATCCTGATTCTAGAAAGATCAGAAATCAATCTGGGTCTCTTAGCAACCAACATTTTAAGAAATGAAGTGGGCAGTAGACAGAGGGAGAAATATTTGGGAAGTATTGATTAGGGAGGGGAAATGGGAAGAACCTGGCTGCTGCAGGGTAAACTCTTCTTTGAAAGACTATTTAGCACTTGGAAGAGAATGGGGCACCAAAATGGATGGGATATTTGTCTAAAGAGTTCGTTAAAAACAGATACATTAGATACAGAAGGTGTATTGAGTGTGGCAATCCAATCTAGTTGCTCCAGACCATCTTCCAAGAGGATTGCTGAATGATTGAGCCTAAATTGGATTACTTCACTGACCACTCTTCCACATCGATGCTTGCACCATAATGACCGCAGGGAACCTGTCCCTACACATCAAGACGAAGGGGGAATCATGAAACGGCAGGAGATTCAGCTGCTGCCTCATCTCCCTCTTCAGAATCCCAAACTTCTGACTGTAAGTAGTTAGCAAACAGGGCCTTGGCACGGTGAAGGATCTTGTTAAGGTTGTGCCGGCGTACCAAACGATCAAAATGCATGGCTAGTTCATTGTAGTCCATGTTGTTTTTGATTATATGGTCTCGATGCTCCAAAAGAATGGCAAGACATAAGAAGAGTACAAAGGGGTTGCCTTTGCCAAATTCTTGCGGAGGAGGGAGGCTGACTAGGGCAGGAGGAGTAGAAGAAGAAGTAGGTCCATGGGAGTTAGAAGAAGGGGTATTAACTACCGAGTCTCCCTTCTCTTCCTCTGATTGACTTTCCTCATTGCCATTAGTTGAGGAGGAGACAGAATCTCGAGAGGGTGGTGTCAAGGCCCGAAGAGATGGAGCAGAGAAGGATTTAGCCATGTTAGTTGTCTGAATCAATGGATCCTGCTCACTGGTGCAATCTTCCTTCTCATCCTCTGAGTGCTGAGATCTGAGTGATGGGTCATCCTCCAAATTGTCTTCATTATGAGTAATGTAATACTTGAATTCCCCAAAACTAGATTGCTTTACTAATACCTTCTCTTCAGCAACTGCCCCCTGGCACGGCCGATCCCCAGCTGCCTCAAAACTACAAGCTGGGCGTAGCATGTGTCTCCTTCGGATAGACTGGCTGCTGTCTCCGGGCCTGGCTGGAGGGCCCACTAATTCCACTTCCTTCTCTGGAGGATCAGGAGGAAAGGAACTCCATGTGATCTCCAGCATGCGCAAGGCATCCTCAAATGCAAACTCCCGTTTCAGCTCCAACAGCAGCCAACGATAGCAAAAGAAGAGGTCATCAGCACCCCGAGACAGGAGGTAGGAGTAGAAATCTGGATCTGAATGGCGGAGGAGAAGCTTGAGATGGGTAAATTTAACTGACATGACTTCACCATCTACCTGGAAGTTACCTTCCAGGCGTTTCATGATGCCACAAAAACAGATGAAGGCATGTGCTTCACTGTCCATTACAGCCAGGATGGGAGAAGCAATGTCACTCATACCCTGACAGTAGGATATCTGTGGGTGGGTCACAGCATAGGTGGTCAGCAGATCATGCAGGGCTGTCAGGTGAGGATTATCATCTGAACCAGCATAGTAGGGATGAGTGCGATCTGTTCGCAGAACATCCTTCAGCACATTACTACGGATGAAATCCAGGTCTTCAGGGTTGGTCCGTGCTTCCCATTCCCCCTTCAGTTGCTCATACTCACGTGTCTTCTGCTTCATGTAATCCATACGCTCCTGTCCAGTCAAGCCATCAGGATAGACATTTAGCAAATATCTCCAAACAACCTGCAGAGATAGGGTGGATTCAGTTTTAAAAGAAACTTTCTTCATCAATAGGGACTAGCTGATGGATCAGCTACAGGAATAAATCTTTCCCCTATAACAAGGGGCGGACAACTACTACCAGCCCAAATGCCTGTTCTCACCTTGCGCAATGAAGGCTCAACTCCACCATGGAAGATTCGGAGGCGCAGTTCTGCTGGTCTTGTCAACTGGCCTTCATGATTCAAATACGTATGGAATTCTGAGTCACTCAAAGGAGGTTTGAAAGGTTTGACATCTTCCCCATAGGACCAGCTGAGTGCCTGCTGGACCTTTGACAATGTCCGTCCCACCTGACAAAAAGCAAAAAAGAAAGCTGAGGTCAACAACAACAACAGTTAATGACTTAAAACTGGAAGGAAAAAATCCCAAACCACACATCACAAATAGTTCCATATTTTACCATGCAAGATTTTAGGTTAACTACTCCTTAAAAATTGGAAGGTTGGGGGAGAGTAATTCGTGTCAGGTACAAGAAACCAGAAGCCACACAATGAGCTGATCAAAGTAGTATATTTGTTGCTCACTTCTAGACAGGAATCTTGCCAGACTAAAACACAAACTGCATTAATTACTAGATAAATACTGCAATGTATTAGAATAAAGCTCAGTCTGATGGCTTCAGAATCAATTCTGAAAGACCCTCTGGAAAAGATAACTCCTTTACAATTCTCCAGAAGGCCACAACAGTGGGATCCATCCTCACTTTGGAGTAATGGAAAGGCTTATTCCATAGGACAAAGAATGCCACAAAGAATGCTGTTGTCAGGCCTTCTCACACTGCATCTCCTAGTAAATGGGGACCCTGGGCAGCCTTTCTCTGATCACGTGAAGTGTTAATACCACTTTATAATGCCTTAGTAAGGCCACACTTGGAATACAGCATTCAGTTTTGGTCGCCACAATGTAAAAAAGATGTTGAGACTCTAGAAAGAGTGCAGAGAAGAGCAACAAAGATGATTAGGGCACTGGAGGCTAAAACATATGAAGAACGACTTCAGGAACTGGGTATGTCTAGTCTTGTAAAAAGAAGGACTAGGGGAGACATAATAGCAGTGTTCCAATATCTCAGGGGCTGCCACAAAAAAGAGAAAGTCAAGCTATTCTCCAAAGCACCTGAAGGCAGGACAAGAAGCAATGGGTGAAAACTAATCAAGGAGAAAAGCAACTTAGAACTAAGGATAAATTTCCTGACAGTTAGAACAATTAATCAGTGAAACAACTTGCCTCCAGAAGTTGTGGGTGCTTCAACACTGGAAGTTTTTAAGACGATGTTGGATAACCATTTGTCTGAAGTGGTGTAGGGTTTGCTTCCTAAGCAGGGGGTTGGACTAGAAGACCCCCAAGGTCCCTTCCAACTCTGTTATTCTAAATTATAAATGAATGTTCAGGACAGGTTGGTAGATTTTACCAGAGAAAGGCAATCTTTTAGATATTCAGACCTCAAGCCATTAAGATCTTTAAAGAAAACAACCAGCATCTTGTGCATATAAATACTGTGCTTTCACAAGAGTATAATATAGCAATATTAAAACTGACTCATAAGAATGCATTGCATTTGCATTATTAGATCTTGCAAATAACCGTCCAATGAAAATATAAGCTAGCAACTCCACTCCCCGAAAGCCCACCTGGGAAATGATGGACTGGGTGAAGGGCAGGGCTGCAGCCGCCAGAGACCTCTTCTCCACTAACAGCAGGTCGGTACTGATAACATCTTTAGGGCTGATAATATCCCAATCTTCTAGCAGGGGGCCTGAAAGAGTATGATATTGTGAGCACATTCCTCAAACCAGTTCTGCCAATCCTTCTCCCCACTCTGCATTCGCACTTTCATAGGGACAAAGATGTCTACCAAAAAGGATGCAAACTAGTGTGTATATATCTTGTTATTAGAAGAAAAAGAATTTAAAACAAGATTAGTGCAACTACTATGATTTACTAAATCATGCATCCACGTACTTTGGTTCTTTTGAGAAAAATAATATAAGGAGGGCCTTTTCAAGCTTATATTTCAGTCTAGTTGCATTCTAAGCCAGCAGAGTTTTCACCCAGAATTCTGAACTTATCTTTGGTGATTACATGTTCTAAGCCATATTAATTTTTGCATGCTTCAAGCTGGAAAGAGGTGCTGATAAAGTACACTGTACAAAAAGGGGCCTGGTAACAGATAGCTTTCGAGTGAGTCAAGCAACGGGTGGGATGTACCAAAACACACACGCACAGATTTACCTGTTCAACCCTATTGCTGTTTCCCCATCCATAACTATGCCTAACAATGCTGTATCTGTTAACAATGCTGTGATTCATACCTTCTCTTCTACAACAGCTATCAGCGACCATCCCCACAAGAACAATATACCGTAAATAGAGAAGCTAAAGATAAGGAACTCTGTTGATGGAACATCCCCCCCTGCAGTAAAGTGTATAGAATGAGAACAAGATGTGAGGGAATAGAATCATTATTATTTGCTCTCCAGTTAATGACAAAATTACTCACTGTCTTCCAAGGGCTTGATGTCTATCTTTAGTTGTAAAAAAGGCTTAGAAGCTCCAGCAAAGGCCATCCCGAGATCCCAGTCTGACATCAATGACAAGTACATTTCTTGGTTTTGCTTATCTCGGCTTAAATAGCTGATGGTAAAATTCTTCTTCCTGATACAGGAAAAGGGTTTAGAGTTCTTTTCACTAAAGCTGAATATCTCGTTTGCAGCATGGCACATAGATATTTATGTAGAAAATAAGATGAGAAATCACACGTGTACTAAACAATCTCCCATATGTGTATTGTGAAATAAGGTCTGGTGTTAAGTGGAGTTTTGGGGCAAGTTCCAGCCAGACCAAAACCTCATTAGAAGATAATACAAAAGTAGACAACATTGCAAAGGTTGCAGGAGATCGTTCAAAAAAAGGAGACAGGGCTGATTTTTTCCCCCAGCCAATTAAATGCAGTTTTTCTGAAGATAAATTACTGGGGGAGAGGTAGCCTCTAGGACAGTGGTCCCCAACCTCTGTGGCTTGCTGGCCTGGCTAGAGGGGGGAAAGGGCCACGTGAATGGCGGGGCAGCGCACATGCACACTGCTCAACTTTTGCAAGTTGAGGTACGCAATGCATTTGTGCACGTGCGTCGGCCCGCTGCTCGTGCAGGTTGAGCTGCGCATGCATGCCAGCCTGCCATTCATACGGCCGAGTTCTGGGTAGGCCGCAGCTTGGTAATGAGCCATGGCCTGGGGGTTAGGGACTCCTGCTCTAGGAGGCAAACAATCAACATCCCATGATTAAAAATAATCAAAACCTGAAACATATTCATCACTCAGGAAGCTGACAAGAGATGCTAGTGAGTCATAAGGATGAAAATGAGTTGTTGAGAATGCCTCTCAGGATCATGAACACCACCAATAATTTTGAAAACCAAGACACTGCAATATTTGGTCAGTGTTTTGCTGAATTCCAGCTATGTCATTTGGGATCCTGGAAGCTACGATTGATTGTTGGGAGGGGTTCCATAGCTTTTGCAGGCTTTTTTTTTTAAAAAAAAGGAACAGCACTGTTTTCCTTCACTATATTTACAATCACATGAGAAGTTAGCAATAAATTGCTGTCTAAAATAGGTATTTTTTGTTAAAATGAAACATACTGTCCCTCTTTATTCAAGCATGCCAAAACATCTATCCTCTCATTTTCTTAGACCCCTCCATACAACATTAGCAGTCTCCCTCTTGGTATATGGCATTCTTTTTTAGCTTCATTGCTAATGTAACATATGATGTCACAATGAGGGAAAGGATGTAAAGTGTCTTTGCTCACAGTTCACGGTCCGAGTTCTCACTCTCCTTCCAATATCTCAAAACAAAAACCCCTAGCTTAAAGCCCCGTCAATGATGTGCTGCAAAATTTGCTTTCATTAATTGAAGCAATCACAATGGGAGCTGAAAGACAGGGCCATTTATTTCCATCCTCCCTCGGTGCACTTGCTTTCCAGAACTGACATGACATAAATGATAGAATTGTATTTGAATATTTCTATTCAATAGACAGCCATTTGTGTGAAGCAATAGAGGGTCTCCGTTTTGTGCAGGGAGTTGGACTAGAAGACCTCCAAGGTCCCTTCCAACCCTGTTATTCTATTGTAACTCACCCATTGAGGTCAAAAGCTCTGATGAGAATGTGCTGCAATACATCCAGTGAAGTGATCTGTGGGTCCACAGCAAAAGTCCGGAACTCAGGTTGCAAGAAGCCTTCACATTTCTGCAGAAATTGCACATAGGTAAGATTTAAAACACACTGCTATTAACTGGATAGTCTGCATAATCTGTACTCTATATAGTCTCAGCATTTCCTGGTAAAAACATATATTATTACTGTTTCATTATACAATGGAGATTATGACCACATTTGATTCAATCCCATATTTGTCAGGCAATCTCCATTAAGGAATATTGTTAATATTTAAATTCTTCTCTTTGCTTATAGGCATTCCTTCTGAAGAAAAAGAATCATTATGAGAAAGGGAAGGGAAAATAAATTACAAACAGCTTGGTATTGACTCTCCCTAATCAACTTTGAGTGATAAGTGAACAAAAATTTGTGTACATTTCCCAAATCAATAGATCTATGATTAACCACACCAGAGAAGAATTCTGGGAACTGACTCCAATATACTTAGAAGAAATGAAATAATGAAAGACTATTATAAATATTGAGGGTCAGGATCAATATATGTTCAAGTGTGCATAACTATTATTTAAGCTTCTGTTCTTCATATGTATTTAAAAGTGTTGCAAACAAACAAATGAAGAACTAAACAGGACAAAATGGCTTTTGGCTTGATATAACAAGAATTGCCATGTCTGAATGGAATCTAGAATATGGCTCAAATTATTATATTTACTGAAGCATAGATACAATGATAATACCAGATAGCTATGGTTGGGGAGTTGCCCTATGAGCCGCGGTAGCACAGTGGTTAGAGTGCAGTACCGCAAACTACTTCTGCTGATCACTGGCTGCCAGCAGTTTGGCAGATTGAATCTCACCAGGCTTAAGGTTGACTCAGCCTTCCATCCTTCCAAGATGGGTAAAATGAGGAGCCAGATTGTTGGGGGCAAGAGGCTGACTCTATAAATTGCTTAGAGAGGCTGTAAAGCCCTGGGAAGTGGTATATAAGTCTAAGTGCTATTGTTGCTATTGGCTCAGACTGTGGCCCTTAAAGAACTCTTCTTCAAATATGGGAGCCAGGAACCTATTTCTCTACAAACAAGCCTGAAAGTATAGATAGGACTTCACTTCATCTATACATTCCTTGTCCAAGCTCCAATTAAATCTAGTCTGCCTCTTCTCAAAAGCAACCACCTTAGTTTTTGCACGAGACATTCAGGAAGTTGAGTGCACAGAACATACTAAATCTGTACCTTGATTATTATCTACCAAAGGTCTCTATGGTCAAAAAGGAGGTTCCAAATTTAACTACTAATGAAAGTGGGACTGTCTTTCCATGCCAGTTGGTGTGTCACCTTCTACCTGCTGTAAACGTTACCTGACTAACCCTGCTTGAGGGACATATTCTCATGATCTCCATCTTGCCTCACTCTAGTTCAAGAAACAAGGCAGTCAGTTTTAGCCTCATTTCAACGGCATGACCGCAATATGAATTGAAGAAGAAGAAATATACAAATAAACAAAGAATATCTCCTTTAGAGCTGACAGCCCTAATTTGTAAGGAATCATGTCTTTTTATCTTAAATCAGAGACTGTTTGGGACTGCTTTCAAAAAGGTTTGCAACTTTTATGCAGTTCAGGAAGAAAAGTTTGTATATCCTACTAGTCAAAGGTTTTTTTCTTCCTCACAGTTTAAAACTATTTTAATAAATATAATAAAATAAATATTCTAAAATTTAACATGAATAGTTTATCATTCTGAAAATATCATGGCTGTATGAAGCATGGAGGGATGAATATTAATATGGCCATGAGAAGGAACTCACTGGTTGTCTCTTAACCCTTAAATCTTCTCTCAATTCCATTCCACCAGACTTTATTAAGTAGAAAAGTGTATCCCTTGTAACCCTTTCAGACTAGTTAGAGATTTCATCTTTACTTTAATGAAGACCAGAAACTACTTGTCTAATGTTTATTTCTATCTCTATTTTCCATGAATGATGAATCCTAACACATTTTCTTTGCCATTTTTTTTCCTTAGTCCCTGCCTCAGTCCAAATGTGTGGAAAATTGTCAACCTGGATTTGTCAAGAGGGCTCGAAAAGGAGAGCCAGTTTGCTGCTACGACTGCATTCCTTGCCCGGAGGGAACCTTCTCCACTCAGGAAGGTGGGTGACACCAAAGGAAAGGACAGGTTTTGCCCAAACGGATTTAGCCATAGAATTTTGGTGAAAATGCAAGATAGATTGAAAATTATTTACCTCTAATAATGTAGGTTTCTATGAAGGTTCAGCACATTATATAGGAAATCTATCAAGTTCTAAGTTCTCTAATATCAAAGACCTATATATATATTTAAAAATTGTATTCTTCTTATCTTTTTTCTGAGGAGTTGTTAAGCAATTCATCTTGGAAAACATTCCTGGTATTAATTGTTTTTCCCAAAAATATAATTCTTGACATTTGAAAGGACAGAATGTTAAACAAATATTGCTTTTTGCTTTCTCAGATACGGAAAAATGCATCAAGTGTCCAGATGATAAATATCCAAATAAAGACAGAATCCAATGTATCCCTAAAGTTATAACCTTCTTGCCTCATAAAGAACATCTGGGCATCATCCTGGACTCTTTTGCCCTGCTCTTATTCCTAACTACAGGCCTTGTTTTAATCATCTTCATTAAGTATCGAGAAACTCCCCTTGTCAAAGCCAACAACCGGGACCTCTCCTATATTCTTCTGGTCTCCCTCTTGCTTTGCTTCTTGTCTCCTTTTCTCTTCATTGGTCAACCAAGGAAAGCCACCTGCCTTCTCCGACAAACGGTCTTCAGCATCATCTTCTCAGTTGCCGTTTCTTCTCTCTTGGCCAAAACCATCACGGTGGTGCTGGCTTTCCTGGCCACAAAACCAGGAAACCGAGTGAAGAGATGGTTGGGGAAGAGCTTGGCCAACTCCATCATCCTTTCTTCTTCTGCAGTCCAACTTGTCATCTGCTCCATCTGGCTGGGAGTTTCTCCCCCCTTCCCTGACTCTGACCTCCACTCCCAGCCTGGAGAGATCATCCTGCAGTGCAACGAAGGGGCCGTTGTCATGTTCTACGTCACCCTCAGCTACATGGGCTTCCTGGCTGCCATCTGCTTCACGGTGGCTTTCCTGGCCAGGAATCTGCCCGGGGCCTTCAACGAAGCCAAGCTGATCACTTTCAGCATGCTGGTCTTCTGCAGTGTCTGGGTGACTTTTGTGCCCACCTACCTGAGCACCAAAGGGAAATACATGGTGGCTGTGCAGGTCTTCTCCATCCTGGCCTCCAGTGCTGGTCTGCTGGGCTGCATCTTCATCCCCAAGTGCTACATTATCCTTCTGAGACCAGACCTGAACACAAAGGAGCATCTTACAGGCAGAGTAAATGTAAAAACATGAGATACAACACCATGGTTGAATTGTAAGATTTCATTTTATTTGAAATAAAACATTAATTATTTCCACTTAGATAGTATGCAGAAGTCAAAGAAAATCATATGGGTATGTTTCAAAATTCAAAATAGTTGAATGACTGTAATTCTCATAACTTCCTTCCCTTTCATCTCAATAAATCTTGCTAAAGAGAACTGTGTGAAAATCATTCAAATGAATTGGATCTTCAGCAACTGACAATAAACTTACCTTTTAAGAAATGATTTGAGCAATAATTTCTACTGACTGCTGCTAAAAATGTATATTTGTGAGAGAGTGAGTAGGAAAAGAGGTAGGATGGAAGCTGTGGGAACCAAGCTCCAACCATGTTGTTTGATAATCTCCATGGGAACGATTGCCTGTCCCACCGCCAAGCCAGATAGGGTTGGTGCCTCCCTCCCTGCTTAGAGCTTCTCTTCCAATGAGACCTACTTAGCTCACCTTTCCCATAGCTGCCCTTGCCCCTGTGAAAGAAGCTTTTTGATGAGATCCACCCAAGGGTGAATCACACCACATTTTGACCAGCAGAGGCCACCTGTGGCCCCTCCATGTGAATAGTTGCAAGCAGGAGATTGAGTGAATTGCAAACACCATCAGGGCAGGGTGGGTTCTAAAATTTTTTACTACCAGTTCTGTGGGCGTGGATTATTTTGTGGGCGTGGTTTGATGATCATGTGACAATTCTCTAGGATTTAGCAGAGGTACTGGTCTACCAGGCTTTTAACTGTTTGCAGAGCTGTACCGGTCTACCCATTTGTTTTTGGAGGCACTAGTCTACTCATTTGTTTTAGGAGGCACCGGTCTACCCATTTGTTTTTGGAGGCACTAGTCTACCCATTTGTTTTAGGAGGCACCGGTCTACCCATTTTTTTTCGAGCGCACTGGTCTACTACCACACTGCCTTTTAACCCTGATCAGCTGTAGGGCGGCCCTTTGAAGCCCCGCGGCAAGAATTTAAACAGTTTTTTTTTTCTAGCCAATCAGCTGGGACTTGGGAGGCAGCGAATAGATTGGGGTCGGGGCCAAATAAAAGGTAAGAATAACATGGGGGTGGGCAGCTCCCGAACAAAGAGAACCGGTTCGGTGACGTCATATATCGTCGCCGCTACCGTTCAGCTGAACCGGCCCGAACCAGGAGGAACCCACCACTGCATCAGGAAAAGAATGTCTCTCTCCAAAGTGGAAAGCCCAGCAGTGAACTGATCTCATGGTTTCATCTGTGTCAGATCTGCCTGACTCGACTTAGGGAGCCTCACAGGCATCCTGGCTAAAAAGAAGAAGAAGGGGGGAGGATGAAAGGGAAAGATGAAAGGGCAATAAAGGTACTGTCAGCCTCAGCTTGCCTGCTTCAGCTGCCATAAGAAACGGGGAGGGATTAGTTATGGAGCAAAGGGGGGGAAGGGAGCAGGAGGTGGTTTTGTCTTTGTAGGATGGGACTTCGTGAGAAACGAAACTGAATCTTCAAAAGGGGACGGCTGACCAACTGCCCTACATTCCTGATGAATGACGCTGCCAGATGTGTTGCCACCTGACCTTTGGAAGACCTTTGGATTGGCTGATGATTTATGAACACGAGGGGGGGAGAAGCTTAGTAGATGCATTTCGCGCGCGTTTGCTCACTTCCAGCTTTAACTGGGTTGCTATTCATTTCATATTCAGTAAAAGTACTAAATTCTTCAAAATGCTTGAGTTTGGGTTTTCCTTTCCTGGATACTGAAGGAAGCGTACCTGACAGGTACGTGATAGGAAATCAGGAGGGGGGAATGACAGGAGCGAAGGGCCAGAGCAGCAAGGTGGATACTTGTATCAGTATCCCACCAGGCAGCCTGAGAAATATACGGATTACCCCCAAACATCTCGGAGTTCTCAAAACATTTTGTCGTGGTTGGCTGGAAATGGACTGGTCATGGGGTGGGGGGGTGGGGTGGTGCTGGGGGCAAACTTACATTTTATTTTTGTGTCCAGCAAACGAGGTGCTTTCAGAGCTGGCTTGGCTTCACTGCAACCGACACTCTTAATAAAAGAACCCTTTGCTTTAACCAAATGGAGTCGAAGGCTTTTCTTCCCTAAGGGATCGGACAGGGGTAAGTGTGATGTTTGAGGCAGGTTCCATCTCCAGAAACGCAGCTCTACTAAGGACATCATTCCAGGCTGCTAGGAAGCAAACCAGTTCCAGTTCATCTGGAACAATCCCCAACTGAAATCCTGAAAAGTTGCTGCTAGGATGCATTTTAAGCTAACAATTAAAGGCAGCTTGCTGTGTTTGGGGGGCTAATATGCATTTGGTAGAATGGTTTATTCAGATAGATCTCAACTAACAACCAGAATTGGGATTTCCATCGCAAAACAATTCAGTTCTTAAATGACTCTCACTTGATTTTACAACCTTTTTTGCCATGGTTGTTAAGTGAATCATCTGGTTGCTAAACATATGGTTATTCAGCAAATCTGGCTCCCTCTATTGGCTTTCCTTGTTGAAACCAGCAGGGAACATTACAAAGGGTGAACTTGTGACCCCCACAATGATGCAATCGTCATAAATATGTGCCAACTGCCAAATTCCCAAATTTGATCGTGTGAATGTGGGGACACCACTACAGATTTATATCACTTTTTTCAGTACCATCATAACATCAAACTCTGTTAAATGAATGGTCAAGGACTACATGGAAGCAATTGTAGACATTTTGTTGGTCACTAGAGTGAAAGAACCCACAATTGCTGTGTACATGGAAGACACGATAACCGAAAAATCTGCATTTCAACTTGATTCATCGTGAAGATGGAGAGGGGGTTACTTTATACACTCTCAGGCAAAATATATAGAATTCTATATAGAAAATATATAGAATTCTTCACCATTTCAAGCTCCTCCAATGTTGTCTACAAACCTTGCAACTACACAAGCCGTGACTGAATAGCAGTAAGACCCTCCGATCTACTCCCATTCTTTCTAAAAAGAGACCAGATGGGTTTGGTCTTGGAGAGAAGACAAGCAAGCACCTCATATACTCCCGACCTCTTTTCATATTGAGTGAGTTCTCACTGATGGATTGAGTAGAGGTGCTATCTTGCTGTGTGTGTACTGTTGTGTACACACAACAGTACACACTATTACTTCCTTGTAAACCACCTAGGAGCTCTTGATTCTGGCAGTCGATTAATGCTGTAAAGCAGGGGTGTCAAACTCAAACTGAATCTGGCCCGCAGGGGGCTTAGTTCTGGCCCACTAGTTCTAGAAACAGCAAGGGACTGGCCTGTGGTGCCTCTGCCAGCGAAAACAGGCTCCTGAGCTCCATTTCCGGCTGCAACGGTCTCCGGCAATCCTCCCAAGCCCCATTTCCACTGGCAGAGGGATGCAGGAGGCCATCGAAGCCAGAAACGGAGCTCAGGAGCCCATTCTCACTGGCAGAGCACTCAAGCCGCCACAGGCGCCCCCGACAGTGACATCGAGCAGGCCACGCCCACTCTGGCCAAATCCACCCCATCTCCCTGAGGTCAAACACAACCCTGATGCGGCCCTCAATGAAATCAAGTTTGACACCCCTGCTGTAAAGAAATCTACAAATAAATCACAGGCACGAAGGACAGTAATGGCAAACCGAACAGTCAAAATGAGTCCTGCTGTTTTGCCCAGCTGGTCTCCATAACAATCCCACTTACAGTAGCTCCTTAGCTCATAGGAAAGAACCAGGGAAAGAGAGATTCCAGTCAGCTGTGAAGATCTTTCCATGTGCTGCTTTTCCCACCTCTGTGATGAAAGTGCGGCACCAGCACACCTGTTGCACATCACAAAACATGGCTGTTGCATCAACAGTGATATCAAGCCATTCCTGTTAAGGTTATCAACCACCCTAAGCCGAAAGATCTTCCTGAAGGCTCAAGGAGGGAGAGCTTTGGAGCTCAGGAGAGCAACGAGAAATAAAAGAAAACAAAAATTTTATCATAAAATCAAGCAAGATGGCATCGTCAAGGAGAGTGGTCAACTGATCCTTGTTGCCCTGCAAGGGGGAATAGAAACTTCCCAATTAGTCATCCTTGAGCATTCCTTTGTTTACCATTTGGCCCCCTGGCTTTACAAGACAGGAGTTTATCCAGATCAAACATAAATTAGGGCTGAGGTGTAAATTATCCCTTTGTTGATGGCTGTAGTTCCAACTAGACCATGCTTTTAGATAGCACAGAAAAAGATTGATATGAGTTCAGGTCAAATGGCAGGGACATACGTTTGACAAATACCAGATATATTACAGAGGCCTAATAACAAATGTTTGTAACAGGAGATACAAATAGAAAGGAATAATATGTGTGATACAAATACAAAGGCATATATGTATTACAGGAACTTAATGGTTACAGTATCTAGTATACCAGTATATTAACGTGACCAGATGTCCCGCTTTTGGCGGGACAGTCCTGATTTTTAACAATTTGTCCTGCGTCCTGTGGTGTTTTAAAAAAGTCCCGATTTTTGGAAAAAATGCACGACAAGCTAGGGAACGGCGGGAGAACGGGAAGGGAATATACGGTTTTCACTCACCCTCACCCTCTGCCTCTGTTGGATCGCTGGTCCCTGTTCGCTTATCCCGCCCACTCCCAATCTATTGCTGAGTCCCAGCTGATGGCTAGAGGGAAAAAAACTGTTTAAATTCTTGCTGCGGGGCTTCAAAGGGCCGCCCTACAGCTGATCAGTGTTAAAAGAAAACAAATGAGTAGACTGGTGCCTGCAAAAATAGAAAAAACAGCCCCTTTCAGCTTCAGCATAGGTTAATTACCATAAGTTGATTTGATCAGCCTCCCGACTCTCAGGTGATTTGCTCTCAGCTGTTTTGCGGAGGGCTCTGTTGCTAGCTAGCTGCAAAGAGGTAAATTGCTGGAGCAAATGTTTTTTTCCCCTAGCTATGCTGAAAAAGCGAAACTGAAAGTAAAGCAGGGTCTTTGCTGCAACGTGACAAAATGAGGCAGAGAGAGATTTCTTTTTCCTCACCAAAAATGGTAGGTGCAAAACTGCAAACAATGGGAAATTAAAGACAAAAGAGGAGGTTCAAAATTTTAAAACACAAAAGGAAAAAAGCTCTATTTAACTAGGGAATTGTAATAATTGAGATACTATTAATTGTATATTGTGTTGAAAGCAGAAATGGTTAAGTTGTGGTTTGGAGGAATATATGGGGGAAATTATTTGGTTTATTATTATTGGTAAATATAATTAATTAATTTGTAAGGAATTGGATTGCATGGAAATAATTGGAATATTCATGTTCATATTAATATACAAAAAAATAGTTATATAACTAATTGATTTATATTAAAATGTTGAATTTGTATTAAACAACTGTATTATGTAATTATTACATAATTAATCAATGTGAGGATGGATATAAAAATAGATGACAATGGGAAGGGGTATAATATAGAATAGAAGGGAAAAATTGAATTTGATTAAGATTAGAGATGAGGATGAAGGGTAATATTGTTTTTTTAAAAAAATAGATGAGGAATAAATATGGCAAAAAGGAAATATAGAAATTGTAAATTTAATTGAAATGACTAAACACTGTTTAAATTTGTGAACCGGCCAAATACTCTGTTCAAAGAAAATACATTGTATGTTTGTATGTGTGTTTCTAATTATTGCTATTTATTCATATTTGTTCTCTTTTATTCTTTAAAGTTTAACAATTCATTCTTTATCTTAATATCTTTATATTTGTTTGGGATTGGCTTTCTTCCCTTTTCATCTTTTTTATTGTACAGCAATCTTTCTCCTCAAACCTACCACCTCTCTCTTTTCTTTCCTTCTTACTTTCTCTTCCCCCCTCTTCTTTTCCTCCCTACTTCCTCTTCCTTTCTCCTTCTCCTCCTCTCTTCCTCCCTCTCTTACCCTCACTCCGACTCTAATTTCCCTTCCCTTCCTTCATCCTTCTCTATTGCTGTACCCTTTTGTGCATATGGACTACTCAGAGGGCTGAAAAAGTTATTTCTGACTGGTCCTCGCACTTTTAACCAGTCCTCGAACTTACAACTGTCCTCACATTTTACGTTTTTGCCCTATCTTGTCACCATGGTGAAGAGAAGCAGTTGTGAAATGAGTGACACGGTTGTTAAGAATGCTACAATGGGCATAAATGATGACCAGTCATAACTGCGAAGACCGGTCAAAAGTGCGAGGACCTGTCAAATCACTTTTTTCAGCCCTCTGGGTAGTCCTTTTGTGCATATGGACTACTCAGAGGGCTGAAAAAGTTATTTTTGACTAGCGTCCCCCCACCCCAATCAATGGTATCCCGCTTTACCAATGTTAAAATCTGGTCACCTTACAGTGTATCATATTCTAGTATTATTTATTATATCCTTATTATTGTTTCCCTTTCACAATAAAATTGTAACGCGAAAGTGAGGGCTGGGTATGTCAGGAGAAATAGGAAAACAAATGCACGCCACAAAAACCAGATAAGCGTGCACACCAAGTAAAACAGGAAGAGGCAGGATTAGGAATGAAGCGGAAGAAACGTTCAGAAAGTGGCTGGCCAGGATGCTCTTGTTAAGCACTTAGGCATCAGACACTCTGCCAATCTAAAGTATTACAAACGCTCTGCCAACAACGCAGACCTACTCTGTGTGCAACCCGATTGAAAGAACGGACTCCATTTTCCCCACTCAATCTCCGCTAAGCAACCCTCCCACGCTACTTGGTCCATATTTCGGGTGGTTAAAGGCTACCATTGAAGCTTTCCCCAGAGGATGCTACATGGCAGTTTCCTGCAACGCTCACCCTCCTAATGTTTTCAGAACCAAAGCCTGTAAATAGTAGCTCTTTTTGCTAAGCCGCTCCCGCGGTTCCCTTTCCACGGATGTTTGCGCATCGCGACCTTTAATAAAATGAAGCTTTTCCTGGCAGGCAAACGTGGCTGCACTCCTCAAAGGGGGAGGGGGGGATTCGGATTCATGTCTTTCTTCTCTCGCCCCGCCCTTTCTCATTGGCTGCCCTTTTGCGTCTTTACCCCCGTCTTTTCCATCCGATTGGCCGTTCAGCAGTTTTAACTATTCCTCTCCAGCCTCCTCATTGGTATTTTCAAGCGACCCACCTCCAACTTTAAACAGGAGCGTTGCACCCCTTCCCCACCGCCTACCTCTCCTTCCTTTTTCAGTTTTCCAGCTGTTGTGAGTGGGGGTGGGGGGTGGGAAGAGAGAGGGGAAGACCGGTACCCACCGCAGCTCCGGAGAGCTGGGGAAAAGAGGGTGGTGCGAATAAAGACGCATCGGTGAGTTAGCCCTTAATGCCGTGCCTGCCTCTTTAAGGCATGCCGCTGGAACAGCTGGCCTAAAAGGAGCTAGAGGGCCGGTGCTGGGATGGATGAGAGGCATTAAGGCAAGTTCGGTGAGAGAGAGAGAGAGAAGCAGAGCCGTGCCCAATAAGGGGGCGCCGAGTTCTCGCCTCTCCCGCAATGCAGAGTAGTGGGAAGGGAAAAGGCACCCTAGATCTATGTCTCCGAATGCAGGGATTTCCCCTTTCCTTTCTCTGAAATGACGCGATGACCGCCGTTTCCGTGGGATTCCCATCATTGGCTCTTTCCCTTTTAGGAATAACGCTCTTAGCAAAGCGGCCGAGTATCCCATCCCGGGTGTGTGTGTGTGTGTGCAGTGATAAAGAAAAAGCAGCTTTCGTGGGGGTTGGGGAAAAAATTATGCTAAGAAAGGAAACGAGAAGCCAAAGGGTTACTTGGAGTTGCAAGGACGGGGCTCGTTTGATTTTCCTTTCGGATCCTTTTGTCTAAAAAGCCACGTTCTCCTCCTCCATTCTGTGCTCCAGCATTTCCTTCCTGTCTACCTACCTACCTATCTGCTAACGCCACTGACCAGTAAATCCGCAGGGTTCCTACTTCATGTTAAACCATAACATGTTTTTTTATTAGTCTTGGCTTCCTGTATCGTGAGACTCTGAATTATGACGGTATACCAAATCGTGATGAAATCATGGTTTGATGCAAATGTGCCATTCCAGCCATGTCTTCCTCCCTATTGCAATGCTTCATCAATTCATCAGCTGTGTATTACTCCCCACCACCCATTTTTCTTCCCCCCACCACCCATTTTTCTTCCCCCCTCCCCCCATACGTTGCTAGGGTTAGTGTTAAGTCAACCCTGGAAAATTGAAGTAGAATCAGACCTTATGCTATTATTGTGCGACTTGGTAACTGGCCTTCAGTTACCCCCAGGAGCTCTTTTGGAATATGTTTTTATTCCTAAACTGGGTCTATAAATAGTCAATAAGAATTAGATCCAAATAACAAGGTAGAGAAAGAGTTTGCATCAATGTAGAAGCTTTAGTTTGCTTAGCTGTACAGCAGAAATAGTCAAATTATGTGGGGTTTAACAGAATTTACTTCCATAAGGGAATGTTTGTGGATTTATTTAGTTGATTTATACCTTTGTCTCTTCCTCTATAGAACTTGGAGCAGCAAGGATGGACTGCATCACTACAATACCATAGACTTACAAATAATATTTTAGTTAATTGTATTCTGTGATTTCAGCTTGCATACCGTGTTTCCCCAAAAATAAGACCCTGTCTTATATTTTTCTGAATCCCGAAATAAGCGATTGGCCTTATTTTTGGGGGGGTCTTATTATTTTGGGGCGCGTGGAGCAAGATGGTATTCCTCTTGCCGTCTTACCTGATTTCCAGCTTTGTGTTTAAATATTTTCGGGGAGGACTTATTTTCGGGGAGAGGCTTATTTTAGCGCACGCGCTCAAAAGCCCAATTGGGCTTATTATCAGGGGATGTCTTATTTTTGGGGAAACAGGGTAGTTAATGGTTCAGCATATGTTATGTACAAAATGAGACCGATTGAACAAGCCATAGTTAGATTAATCATGAGAAACACAATCTTGCTGCTGTAGTTATATGTTTTCCAGACTCATCTCTGCTTAGCTACATTTAGTGGTGTCAGACTAAGATAATACTTAGACTAGATTTCCATGCTGCTCTTTCAAATCTATGGTTCTAAAACAAAAGGGAAACAATAGTTACAGAAGGGAACATTGGGTTATATTGTGCCATTAAAATGGCAGATGTGTCTAAGATGATGGTTACATGGGTTTCGTGTCAAGAGGTACTAGGCCTGTTGACTGGCTGGCTTTGGCATGCCTAACTTTAACTGGGCTCACACCATGCACTGAACCACAAATGGCCTAACCATACTGTAGGTTGTAGGCTAGTTTGTGTGGTTGATTGATGTATAGTTCACTGTGTTGTATGAGCCCCAGAGAGTGGGCTTTAAGGAAATTATGTTTAAATAAAACACAAATAAGCATTCTATAACCACACCTTTTATCTCTGTGTAAGCATGTCCTGAAACTTCAATCATTCTCCCAATAGAGGGAGGTTCTTTCAAATACAATAATCCCAATTTAAGAACAGGACTTGGTGTAGACTATTTATTCTTTGGGTTTATATACATTTCAGAATAATCTTGACTTGCCTCCCGAGCTAACTTTATGGGTTTGCTCTGCCTCTCTTTCCCTTTCCAGGTTGGGGCCATGGCCACCTTTACACGGGAAGAGTTTTACCAGCAGCTGTTGAGCAGTTGTATGCTGCCAACTGCTCAGCAGGGTTTTGAACAGGTTTGGATTCTGCTGCTCTTGTGTCTAGCTTGCCGTCTCCTATGGAGGTTATGTAAGTAGAGGCTGAGTTTGCATACATGTGAGATAAAATTGAATTAGCTAATTTCCTGCTCAATGTTGTTTGCTTGCAAACATTTCATTACCCAACTGGGTAACATCATCCATGTGAGTGAGTGTGGGGATTGCAGCCTGTTTATATGTAATAACTTGTCCTGCAAACTTTAGTGGTTTCTTGATTTTATTGTTTGTCTAATTTTGATCCCTGTTTATCTGAATGTTGGTTGCTAGAGCGGATATGTTCTAGTCTTTTTGTTTCCTCCTTAGGTTTTTTTATTGTCCTTTTTGAATGGTATGTAAATATGATTTATATTGATGTGTTTATTGATGGTTAATTTACCTGAATGCCAAGCTTCCAAGAATTCCCTAACATTTTTTGGATTTGACTTGTTCAAAAAAGCTAATAGATTTTTAGCAGTTTTGGTCAACTTTTCTGACTACTAGTTAGTATTTGGGGAGGCACCCTACTAGTTTCTGCCTGTCTATCTTGCATAGTAGCTGTTTCAGTCCTTGTATTGTATGTTGTAGATGATATGAAGGAAACAATCCAAACAAAAACTACGATTTGCAACGCTTCAGAAATGCCTCCAGAGAATTGAGACAGTTGTCAAGTTCCAATTTATTCCTGGTGCTCTTGTTCCCTCAGCTTGCCTTGCCTTCTGCTGTAAAGTTATGGTTGCTTTCCAACAATCCAGTGAGGCTGAAGAGATTCTTGATAAGGTTAACATGAGAGTAAGACAGTGAGTAGGGAAGGAAAGGCTATGACCTCAATTGCTTGGCGTAAAGTCCACGATCTCTGGAAGGTCTGTATGTCACAATAAATGGTGGTTTATTGAGGGAGTTATAATTGGTTGGTTTCACATAACACATTCAGTGATAAACTGGGGTGGACAGTTTGATTCCCCCCCCCCGAAATCCCTGTCATATTGATTGATTTCCCGCTACTATTTTTCTGGGGGGGCCCTTCCCAAAAGGAGTGGGAATGACTGGAGGCCTCAAGGAGACTAAATACTTCCATTTCTACTTTTAATTCCCCTGATAATTTGAAATTTCAGCACCATAATCAGGGAATGTTTTTTTAAGATCTGGGGGATTATTTAAGGGTGGAATTATAAGATGCTTGCCTTTCAAATAGGGTGGATTTGATTTAAATCGAGTTGATTTAAATCACAATTTAAATCATGATTTAAATCACTAGTAAAAAGGCTTGATTTAAATCAACTCGATTTAAATCATAATTTTTAAAGAGCAACTGTCATCTCTGCTACTCCTTTGACCCACTGTTGACTCACCGATAGTCCCAGTGTTGCAGAATATACAGCCTCATGCTACATAACTAAGCTCCATTTCATGCTGAATAAACTAAATTATTTATGTATCTTAAATAGAAAACTATCTTACAATAGATTTTTACCCCAAAAGTTTTTTATTAAAATAAATTCGATAAAAATCAAAAAAATCCGATTTAAATAAAAAAAATCTGATTTTTTTGATTTTTTTAAAAAAATCATTGATTTTTATCCACCCTGCAGTTTCAAAGACCACCACCTCCTCTTTCCACCCTTCCCGAAACAGCATAAAAAGAGATGAATGGATCTTTCCAGTGACAGCATTTTATTACTATCAGAAAACCTTCTGCAGTGTCCAGATGGTTGAGGAAGCCTCCAATGCTGGAGAAGTTGCCCTTCCCTGCAATAAGCTTTGGTTCACAAACATCAATGACTGAGATCATATCATAACACACACAGAGAGACTCCATAGTATGGCTAGGTATGTTGGCTAAAGCCATCCATGGTGAGCTTCTCTTTCTCTCATCCAAGCTTCCTGCCTCTTCTTTTCCAGCTCTGCCATCCTATGTTAAGCACCTGAGCACCGTTGCTAGTGGCTTCTATGCCCTCTACCACTTTTTTCAGCTGCAGATGGTGTGGGTTGTGCTCCTCAGCCTCTTGTGCTACTTGGTTTTATTCCTGTGTCGCCACTCAACCCAGCGTGGAGTTCTGCTCTCCATCACCATCCTCATCTATTTGCTTATGGGGTAAGTGAGGAATGTGGGAGGGGTAATTAAAAAGCTGATATGGCCAAGAGCAATTCATGGGGAAAGGGTTAGCTAATAGCATGTTGGACCAACAGAAAGTCAATAAGGGGAACACCTTTCATGAGGGAGCACAAGGTAAACAGGTTTCCTTAAGTGTTGGAGGCTGGTTACAAGAATGCACGTGGTTCTGTATTTATCCTGTTTTGGCCAGCCCCATTGTCTGACATTTACCTACTTCATGAGTGGAGGCCACCCAAACTGCCTACACTTGTCCAAATAAAAATAAGTTGAATAATCCTTATGACTTAATAACACATTTTATTTTTTGTATTAAAAAGGAGGTCACTTTTCCAAATTTAGCCCACCCAAACCACAAGATGCTCTCAAATCAGTCCCTGGGATACCCTGGTAGTAATCGCAAAGGTGGGGCAGAGTTTACTCTGTTGCTGATATTTAGGTTTATAATTTTTTTGATGGCCAGATTGATGAGAATAGTAGGTTAAATTGTCTGTCCCCATGCTAGCTAGTGTCCTCCAGATGTATTAAATGTATCATTAGTTATGTCTGGGAATTATGGAATTATAATTCAAAATATTTGGAGATTGCCAGAGAAAAGCTAGGCTTATCTAAATAAAATTTTAAACAAGTCAGCTAACATACAATAAGCTAATAATCTTTCTTAGTAGTCATACATTAAACTACATTTAAACTACCATTTTAGCTCCTTCCAAATTTGCAAGCTGCATTTTTACAAAGATTTGTATTCCATTTCTTTCCAAACCTGAAAGGCCCAACATTTAAGATATCTTGAAACCAATATTCATACTAATAAGCATTCTTGTTGGTTGAATGTCCTAATTTCTGACTCTTTGGGGTTTGGAAGGCACAATAAGTAGTCAAGTTTGGTGAAAATGCAGCATGCAGTTGATGGAGAGGGGCTAAAGTGTTAAATATATGTGTATTTGTATCCTTCTTGATGGTTTTTAGTGTGTATTGTCGAAATTTAGTTAGAGAGAGGTCAAACCAATGGACCAAGAAAGCTGACCAATTGTTTTGGTAAGCCAATGGGAAATGCAGGAAGGGGGGCATCTGTGTCAACAGGTATGGACAAGAATGAATTAAAATAGAATATTCTTTATTGGCCAAGTGTGATTGGACATTGGACAAGGAATTTGTCTCTGGTGCATAAGTTCTCAATGTACATACAAAAAAACAAAGCGATAAGTCATAGAATAGATCATAAATCATAAGGTACAATAATAAGCCATCAATCATAAGGTACAAACAAGTCATAAATCATGAGATACCAATAGGAGAAGGTAGGAAAGATGAGAAAGACGAGAAGGATAACGATAATAGCAATACAGCTCTACTACATGGATAAATATTTTAAGGCATTAGACAGTGCTGTGGAAGTTAGGTGTTTAGCAGAGTGATGGCATGGGGGGGAGGGGAATCTGTCTTTGTGTCTAGTTGTTTTGGCATGCAATGCCCTACAGCAGCGTCCCAAGCAGGGGAAGTTGAAACAGTTTATGTTCAGGATGTGAAGAGTCCGTAGGTATTTTCTTAGCGGTCTTTCTGGTTCGTGCAGTACTGGATTACTATTGCTGTAACATCATAGCAATTACTAGAAAATTCCATAAATTTTGTAGTGGAAAAGCCAGAGATCAAGGAAAGCAAACTAACAAGTTATAGTAGCATAATTCCTGGAATCATGTGCATTTCTAGTCACCCAGCCCTTTGACATGAATGTATTCCTTTTTATTGGAAAGTTCAGCAAGAAGAGGATTTTGAAACTTATCTGGATCTTAGGAAAGGAAAGATAGCAAACAAAGGACTGATACCCAAAGATAATGGTTATTTCTTTTTGTTTCCTGCTTTTCCTTCCTCCTCTATAGAGAGATGCATATGGTAGACACTGTGAGTTGGCATAAGATGAGAGGTAAGTGACAGATCTCCTTCTGCACATATCTTCTGGTTTGTGACAAGGTGAATCAGAAAATCTATGTATTGAAAGAAAATGCTGCCTTTCCAAAAGCATAAAGTACTGTTCAACATGTGTAACATTCATAGCTTTATAGCTAGACAATTCTATCAAGGCTTATAAACTGAGCTGTTATTAGAAAGAATGATACTTTTGTTATATATGAGCTTCCATTCGTAAATCCCATTGGATCTGAACATCTTTCCTGGACTAAAGGAAAATAATTTGTGCTAGTAACTCCACTCTATGGCAACAAATTATTTAAGCTACTTGTTAAGAATGTCAGCACTGACCCACTCTCTCATTTCTACCACTAGGTGCCCAGATGATTGTGGCAATGAAGGCTGTGTCATTGGGCTTTGATCTGGACCGGGGCGAGGTACCAACCATTCCATCCCCAGTTGAGTTCATGGGGTATATCTACTTTGTCGGAACCGTTATTTTCGGACCCTGGTTCCGCTTTCGCACCTATCTGCAGGCAGTAGAGAGCAGGAAAATAGTGAGTGTACTCTAATGTCTATTATTGACTGTGGTGGGCAAGATCTGGTTGGTGGGGAAAGGGTGGGCCACATTTCAACTTTGAAGATTTATTCAGCTTGGGCATTTTTCTCCAGACTTCCTGTAGGTGCAAATGATCAAGGCATGACAGAGTTCTTTAATTTTACTATTTAGACTCATAGTTGGAAAAGTTTGGGCCATGGAGAATGAAGGACCTCTATTTTTTATAGAAACCATGCTACAATTATGTTTATGAAATTATTATTTGAACTAGCTGATTATTTGTTTTCTTTCATTGGCCAAAATAGAAGCAGCCATATTTTTACTGAATAGTTGGATAGCATTCTACCTACATATTTCAGTCTTTCTTACGTAGAGGAGAAACAGTAATGTGGAATGTTGAACACAATTCCAAACCTTCAAAGATACGTTTATGAAGTATTTCTCCAAAGTGCAACCCTTCCTCTAGAGCTCACCCTCTCCCAGCTTAATGTGGCTCGTTCCATTAAGAGAGGATTGTACCACCTTTGGGGGGGGAGCGGGGAGGGATGCGCTCAGTCTTTGAGTGACTTGCTAAGGGCCCCATTGCAAAACTCAGGTGGGCGGGAACTATGAAGTAGGAAGTAAAGAAGTTCACAATTAAATGGAGGTGAACTTATTTAAAATATAATTAAATCTTATTTACACATTTATTTATATGCCAACTCCACCATTAGAGTATCTCTAGACAATTATCAGCCACCCAAGTAGAGCAGATGGGAAACACACAAGATGAGCCAACACTACGTTATTGTAAGGTTTCTTTAACAGAATCTTGCAAGTCTGAAGCTACAGATCTTCCACTGTCTTTCTTTACCGCCTGATAAATTAGGGCAGATCCTTTCTAAGTTCCTTTCTCTGCCTGTTTCTCAGCTGTGGGCTCCCTCCGCCTTTTATCTGATCATTAAACAACATTTCTATCTCTCATCTCTCAAAGTCATTCCCACAGACCATGATAGCAGCACTCAGTTTTAATTTAATTTATATTATTAGTTTATATGATTTTGCAATTGCACTGAAATTTAATTTAAAAGCAATTAATATGGTCTTCCCATGTCTTCAGTAATTTCCTCCTTCTATTGGAGCTTAATTTTGGAAGGGTTGCTGTGAATCAGATCAAGGTTTTTGCATCTATGCATGGGATTGTACATAAAATGGTGGGGACTGCTTTGTAGCTGATGGAGATGCATGTGAATGAAAAACTACTGCGACTGGAATCCAGACAGGATGCTCATTACATAATGATTGGTTTTGGTTCTTTCCACATAGACTTTCTCCTGGTTTCAGAAGGTCTTCCTGAGCTTCTTCCTCTGCCTTGTGTGCCTCATCATGTCCACCTGCGTGGCTCCCTATCTCTTCTCATACTTTATACCCCTCTACAGCTACAGGCAACTCAGGAAGTAAGTGCCTTGCTTTGAATTGATGTTCTAAGACTCAATTTCCCATATGTTCCCACAGCTGGAAATGAGTTTGTTAAGGAAGCTTGCCAGCAGAGCTAAATGAGCTTTCAAACACCAAATCTGAATTAAAAATCAAGTAAAACTTTAGGGGAAAAAACCCCCCTGAGAAATATAAAAATGAAATGTTTTGAAGTTTTTTACCTGTTAATAGCTCCATCAATCCTCTTCCAGCAACACCTCTGGATTTTTAGCTGTGGCAAGAAACATTTTGGGTTTAATATTTTTAAAAGGACTTTTAGTTTTCCCTTGATTTATTTTGGGGTTGGCTTTATGATACTATCAGCACTGGATGAAAGGAAATGGAGTAGAATCAACTTGCAGCTATGCCCTTGAAATGTCAGCTCATTTTTATGCAGGTCACTAGCTCTACATGGATAATTTGGAAGCAGCAGCCCATTTCAATTTCTCCAGACTTTCATTCTAAAAAATACTGTTTAAAGAGTGTTGTAGTTATATGCCAGTATGTTCTGAAAGGCCTCTGACTGTCAGAATGTTCTTAATAGGGTGTCATCATACACTTGAAGATGATTGTGATATCTGTTATTAGACAGATTGGGATAGTGCTTCAGGCACCTGATCTTGGATCTGATGAAAAAAGAAAACAGCAGATGGTTAATTTAGCATTTCTCTTTACCATCAAGTAGAGATTCTTGCCGGATATTGTATCTCAGAAGTAAAAAATGACTTGAGGGAAGCACCATTTACCATTGTGCTTTCTCAGGCAAAAAAATACATTAAATTCATTAGGGCAGAGAAAATCTTTCTCTCCAGCTGAGGGTTCTTAATGGCTTATATCAGTGATGGTTAACCTTTTTGCCGTCGCGTACCAAAAGCATGTGGAGCATGGGGGAGTGCGCGTGCCCACACCCATAATTCAATGCCCCCCCATGTCCCGCTCCCCTGCATTCACGCTCCCCCCAGCACTCCCCTTGCTTTTGGCATGCAACAGCAAAAATGTTACCAGTGGGCCCGCTTTCTTGGAGCCTGGGGAGGGCGAAAACTGCCTTCTCCACCGCCACCCCCAGAGACACGGCCTGTTTCCCGACTTCTAGTGGACCCGGAAGGCCCGAAATATCAGCTGGCCAGCGTGAGCATGTGCTCTGGAGCTGAGCTAAGGCAATGCTTGTGTGCCCACAGATATGACTCTGTGTGCCACCTGTGGCACGCGTGCCACAGGTTCGCCATCATGGGCTTATATTGTACTTTCATCATCAGATTAAATATAGTTCTGTGGTACAGAGCTGAGCATTTATCTATGTGAATACTCGGACTACAGCAAATCCACTTGGAATTTCCTACAATTAAATTGTAGGACTTAGATTTTATCTATGCTGATCATGTATTTGTAAACCACATCTTGTTTATCTTATTGTGGAGAAAAAGAGGATAAGAACCACACTGAAGCTTGTAGTTCTGATATTTGAATGTTGTGTAATCCTGCCCTGCATGAAACAGAAAATCCAAGGAATATTGAGACATTTTAATGCAGGAGTAAGGAATTGTGGCTGTCCAGAAGTGGCTAAACTCCAACTCCCATGAGTGCCAGTCAGCAACAGGGAGAGATCCTGGAAGTTGTAGCTCATCCACCTCAGTAGGCCTCTGGTTTCCTGATCCACATTTTGGATTTAACAGTTGAGAGGTCAAGAGAAGCTCAACAATTGTGGCATCTTTCAACAGCATGGGGAAAAGTTGTGCATGTCATACTTTTCCCACATGTAGTTAACTTTCTCAGGAGGTGCTTTTTCAGAAAAACATAATTCAGAATGTACAGTGACTTAATGAACTTCTTTTTTCTCTCTTTCTACCAACTTTAACTTTGTTTAACCCTTCTCTCTCCTCCCTTGCTTTCTCTCATTGGGATCACATCCCTCGTGACAGGAAGCGCAGAAGCAGGTAATACGACTTAGATGATAGCAGTTGGGTTCTTCCCTGTTCAGACATCTCATTTACAATTCTTGACATCTACATGACTGTTGTCTACATCTCACCACCAGACCATTTGTTCTGTCACTATATTGGGAACATTGTGATACGAGATTTCTTTCAAGCTTATGTCAGAGATGTTTGTGACCCAGCAATTGTGGTCTTGTAGCATATTGGCATCAGGTCCTTAGGGCTCATCATGTGACACAATTTGTCTTCAGAAGTCTCTAATCTTGCCTGCGGCCTGTAGGCATAGATTGCTGCATTAGTAACTCCTATGGTAGCTTTGGTCTATCAGCATGTATAGGCCTGCCTTATTATCTTGAAGCCATTCAGGGGCTCTATTCCTCCATTGCAGAGGTGTTATATACAGTATCTTACATACAACCAATTTTGACAATTTGTCATGTTGGATAGTGTGGTGGCAAAAATCTGAGCACAATCAGTGGACACAAACAAACAATACTATTTTTATTCTTAGCATGCTATCACAGTTCCTTAGAACGTTAGTAAAATTTGAAAGGCATTTTTACTGAGAAGATGGCTGAAAAACCCTTTAGTAGAATAAAACTGCTGAGAAGTTGTTAGACAATATTTTGGAACTCCGCTGGTTGTTGCAGAAGATATGAAAATCCAACACATCGCAGCTCCAAATAGCCTACCCAGGTGAATTTATGCTTCATCCACTTAATACTATGGTCAGCCCTAAACTAAAGAAATAGGCACATTCTTGGCGCAGCAGCTATTATTGAAAAGCAGAAAAGCAGGCGATCAATCTATCCACGAGACTGTCTCACTAGAGATCAAATTGCTCAGCTGGAAGCATACACTCCAGAATGGACTTTTTCTAGATCCAAGTGGAACTTCATTGGTTTCTTGAGAAGGAAATGCCACCTCATGAGTGCTGAAGTAAGACTTTGGAACCTAACTTGGCATAAGATATCAGTTGGAATATATTTCAAAAGTCAGTGCTTTAACAGCAACTATTTTGCCTGTAAAGTGTATAACAAATTTAAAATCCAGGTGACTTTCCATGCCGCTGGGAAGCCTGCTTTCTCCAAACATTAGTTAAGAGTCATTACTTCAATAGAGTCCATGACAGGAATTAGCACGTAGTGTTAGTCCATCTCTGCTCATATTCATAGGCTATTTCCTAGCTGGAAAAAATCTGCTATCTGACTTATTTACTTGCAAGGAAACAGCCAGAGTGAAGAACTTTGTATTTACAGACAGCTTTCGACTTATGATCATCTGTTTAGCAACCATTCGAAGTTATGAGGAAAAAAGTGACGACTGGTCCTCACAGCGATCGTGATTCGGGCGCTTGGCAACCATCATACATTTACGACAGTCGCAGTGTCCCATGGTCACGTGATTGCCATTTGCCACCTTGACAGCTAGCTTCTGACAAGCAAAATCATTGGGAAGCCGGCAGATGAGGTCATAAGTTGCGACTCACTTAATGACCACGATGATGTGTTTAACGACTGTGGCAAAAAAAAAAGGTCATACAATTGGCTACCGTCACCCAATGCCTCAATTAACAATCGTACTGCTTATTGACAGATTTTCCTATCCTATAGTGATCGTAAATCAAGGATTACCTGTATGGTGAAAAAGGCTATATGGTATATATATATAAAAAGTAGCTTCCTCAGGTATGTATCTTCAGGTACACTTGGCTGCAATTGCCATTATGCCCAATTCTGGCTGAGAAACTATTAGAGGTGCAGTAGAAAGCCTTAAACAGGCCTTTTTTATTTTCTTCCAGGCAAGAATGAATTCTTTTAAAATCACCATAGAACCCACGCCCCTGATCCATCAGGCTTAGTCTAGTCCAGAGAAGGAAATGCCTCTTATGTACTGTTTACTACAGAATTTAATCAATGGGTAGCTTGCCAGGAGGGAGAAAAAGCAGTTTCTTTTTGTTGAGCATGGGACAGAAAGGCAACAGTAATTAGAATGAGAGCAAAAAAATAGAAGCTGAGTCAAACAGGAGAGATCTTGTCACACAATCGCCAGAAAAATCTTCTTAAAATTATCTAGTTTTACATGGGAGCAGGAGGTGTTTGGGAGACTTGCGGTAGATCAGGAGATGAGTCTTGGATCTAAACAATCCTAGAAAAATGTAATAGAAATTGAGATAAGGAAATTTCTAGCATATCTCAGATTATATAATTTGAATTGCTAGGGCTGTGATGGTGAACCTATGACACGCGTGCCACAGGTGGCACACGTAGCTATATCAGTGGGCATGCCAGCTCAGCTCTGGCGTGCCGGCCAGCTGATTTTCGGGCCTTCTGGGGCCACCAGAAGTAGTGAAATAGACTGTTTCCTGCCTCTGGAGGGCCTGGGGTGAGGTGGGGAAGGCCCGTTTTTCTTTCTTACCTGACTCCAGATCTTCTCTATGCATCTGCGGAGGGTGAAAACAGCCTTTCCCACTCCCTCGGAGGCCCTCTGGAGGCCTGAAAGAGCACATTTCCCAACTCCCGGTAGGACAGGAAGTGACTTTTTTGCTGTCCCCAGCCTTCAGAAGACTCCTAGAGGGGGGTTGCGCATGCATGCGCAGGGGGGGCGCATAGAATTATGGGTGTAGGCACGCGCATGCGCGAACCTCCCCCACTCCACCCCTCTCCTGGCATACGATGGCAAAAAGGTTAGCCATCACTGTGCTAGGGAATGTTAGGTTATCCCAGAGGACCCAGTTATAGATTTCTAAAGTATATACTCTGATGCGTCTTATACTCCGAAAAATACAGTATTTGAGAGGAGTTAAAATTCATAGCCCTGGTTGGCTTGCATGAGCTCTTCTGGATCAAGTCAGTTTCAGGTCTCACCAGATACTCTTCTTTAAGTGCCTTGAACCTCTTTTCCAGCAACTGAATTTCATCCTCTCTGTACAACAGCAATAAGGGCAGTGTGGTGGGTCAGAGGTTAAGATGCTGGGTTTTGTTGGCTGGAAAGCTGGCAGCCCAAGTTTGAGATCCGAATGCCACTTGATGGGGTGACCTCCAGTCCTCACCCCACCTCCTGCCAACCTAGCAGTTTGAAAGCATGCAAATGTGAGTAGATAAATAGGTACCACTTTGATGGGAAGGTAACTGTGTGCCGTGATGTCATGCTGGCTACATGACGATGGAAATGTCTTCAGACAGCGTTAGCGGCCTTGAAACAGAGATGAGCACCACCTCCTATACTTAGCAGAGTAAAATCCGCAGGGATTCCTTTACCTACCTACAACAGCAGTACTTCATCATGTAGCAATCTGGCATTATGAATGAAGTTTATAAAGGCAGAGCTGCCAGAAATGAATATGTACATGCCATTAAACATTTATACGTGGATAGATTCTGTGGGGAAGATCTCAAACACGAAATGAATGAAAGCAGATCTAGGAATATTTCTCAGCTAGAAGAGTTCTGCAAATAAGATTGGGGGAAATTCCAGAGGCAAGAATGGAAAGATTCCCAACTGGCTATAGGAAATGTTTGTAAGCTATTATTTCAGCCAAAGGAGTATTACAAATTCTGAATGCAACTTTTGCACCTACTATATTTGCTATTTTCTTTCTACATGTAAAGTAATGTCATATGCCGTATTTTTCACATAAGAAGCTCCGGACCATAAGACACATCTAGCTTTTGGGGAGGAAAACAAGAAAAAAAAATCAGCCTCTGCTTCCCAGCAATTTGCCTCCTTGTAGCAATCAGCAAACAGCCTGGTCAGCTTCAGCACAGCCTGATTTAGCATAAGCAGCTGATTGGTGGAATAGCCAATCAGTTATTCCAGGCTGCGGGGATCACCGCCATCCATTGCTGCCACCTATCACCACCTCCGCATGCCCCATTTTCAGCCTCTGCATGTCCCATTTTCAGCCCATTCCAGGTGGCAGGGATAGCCGCTGTCGCCTATTGCCTCCGATCCCTGCCGCCTGGAATGGGCCGAAAATGGAGCATGAGGAGGCAGAAAACATGCACGGAGGCCAAAAATGGGGTGCACGGAGGCGATGATGGGTGGTGGCAATCCCTGCAGCCTGGAACAGCTGATCGGCGGTATTCCAGGAGGTCGATCCAACCACCAATCAGCTGCTTATGCTATATCAGGCTGTGCTGAAGCTGACCAGGCTGTTTGCTGCAAGGAGGCAAATTGCTGGGAGGCAGAGGCCAGCAGATGGGGGCCGGCAGGTGGGCGGGGCTTTGGCAGCATTCGCTCCATAAGACGCACAGACATTTCCACCCACTTTTGGGGGGAGGAAAAGTGCGTTTTATAAACTGAAAAATACGATAAATAGTAAGTTTGCACTCAAATTTGCAGAAGACTGTTACATTTCATTTTGTTCCATGTACAATTTCCATTCACTTAGAGATTTATTGAAACATACAATTTGACCAGAGGTAGCTGAACATTTGCATGAATTTCTGCTTATTGGCCTGTTTAGAGAATAGGGCTATAATTTAGAGGCCTGTGTGACATACAACAAATGAGTATCAGCATGCACATTTCTTTTAATCTTTCATGGTACATGGCATACGAAGGGAAAATCTCGGGCCATTAAACCCATCTGTTTCTCATCATCATCTATTTTCGCAACTATCATTTCAAAATATTTTGCGGGGGGTGTGTGTGTCAGTGGATTGCAACTAGAACCTTGCTTTTTTTCCTTTCTAAATTCACGTAGGCACTTTAGCAAACACTCAATACATACAATAGTCTCTAACCAGTGTATTGATTTATTTCTTACTTGTTTTCTGTTTGACTTCTCTTCTTTTCTTTCCTTTCTTGTGCATGCCAGGAGTACTTTAATGAGGTAAGTCTCCATATAGGGCCTTAAACTTCTCTTGGAAAATTGGGTGTGCAAATATTTCACGAGTTTCTAAATTCTCATCTCTTCTTATGTGCAGGTGGCTCAGGGCTTACGAGAGTGCCAGTTCCTTCCATTTCAGCAATTACTTTGTGGGCTTTCTGTCTGAGACTACAGCCACCCTGGCAGGATCAGGTTTTACAGAGGAAAAGGAGAATTTGAAATGGTAAGAGGGAGTAGAAGATGGCGCCTGGGATCTTTTGCTTATAAGCTTCAAATTCTCAAAGCACAATTGGGAACAAAGAAGGCAAATAAGAAACGTATTAAAATATATATGAAAAGCCTAATCTGGCAAAGCATCTAATATGATATATTTTAGGAACGAAGTAAAAGACCATTTTCTTTTAGATTTTGGTAATCCTCTTACATTTGTTACTGTTTTTATTCCTAGTCTTCTTTTGATCTTTCTCTCAGTTTTTCTCCAATGAGCTTAAAGTGATGTGCACAACTCCTGGATATCAAAAAAAACCCAAAAACCCAACAATTTTTTTTTTAAAAAAATTATGTAGTCTTTGCTCCAAGATGTTCTTTCCCCACAGTGGTTTTCTAAAATCATTACTTTTCAGGTTATGAAAGCTACAGAAAAAAATCTGCCATTTTAATTGGGAAAATCATCCAAGGCAATCAAGGACGGACAGAATAATATTGCCTGCTTAATTGTAAACATAGTTTTGCTGCTTAATGCATATTTAATTATTAATAATACAGTATTTGAAAATTGTAAATCAATTCATTATAAGGCTAACTGCAATGTTGTGGGAGAAACAGAACTGAATTGACCTTGGTGCACTTGTGAACCGGTAATAACAGTGGTGGGAAGCTCCATCCATCCTCCCAGACCATCACAGACGATCTGCACATGCGCAGAAATTTCTGTGCATGCACAGAAGCACCGTGTGCACGCTTCCATTGCGAACCGGTAGCGAAGGTAAGTGGAACCCACCCCTGAATCATTGCTCCTCAGTGGTTTCACAAGACTGATGATAGTCCATAAGTTGAAAAAGACTGTCCACTTGTTTCTTTTACTTGTTCTTGAGATGTTTGGGGGTGATTTCCATGGGAACCACAAAACTGAGTTCTTTCATTCCTATTTTTAAAACAAATACGTTGTTTGCTCCAGATTCTGTAGCCTGTTATTTTTTATATTCAAGTCACTTTCCTGGAACAGCCATCATCAGACAATTTCTAAAGTTCCTGCTAAGATAGGAAAGACCCCAGGAGCTTCACATCTTTTTAAATATGCCAGTTGGACAATTCAAGCTCAATAGATCCTTGATATCAGAGATCCTCCCTGCATTCTGCCCCAAGTAATTGTTGATTCATTTCTCCTTTTTAGGGACCTGACAGTGTCTCGTCCTCTGAGGGTGGAGTTGCCACGTTCTATGGTGGAGGTGGTAACCAGCTGGAACCTGCCTATGTCACGATGGCTAAACTCCTGTAAGAATGCTTATATCTGTCTTGTCTTTAGGACACTTCGTGTGTTCTGAGTGGAGCTCTTAGCTTTAAGTGCCTGTGCCTAAAATCCTGTCAATGACTCCACCAGATGGAGGAGGTCATATTTCTGGCTCTTCTTTGTTTGTATTCCTGTTCTTATTACTAAATAAGACCTAAAAGATTTCAATAATGGTTATATTGGCTGAGGGTGATAGGAATACATCTAAAAAAACAGGATGAAGAAAAGCTCGGCTAGATGCTTCCTATTTTTATGCATCTTTCAGTAAGTGCAGAGATAGACTAGGGATGGTTTTAACTTGAAGCTTTCAGACATTTCTAAGTGAATTGCAGTAAGATGGTTGATTCAGTCATGGTTTGGTCAGGATCATACACTTTCTGCTCTCACTGTGGTTTATAAATAGCTGAGTTCATACGTTAAGCCAAAACTAAACAAAGGATATTATACATTGTACTTTGAGTGATAACAATTTTGGAGTTGTGAATTAAGGAATGGATAAAACAACTTGATTGGTATGACAGAAGATGGAAGGTGGGCTGTGCTTGCTAGCCTTATCTCTACTGATGCATTATGTTCATTGGATTTTGCCCCTCTCTTATGTGATCTGAAGCTATAGGGCTGCCTTCCTAGATATCACATGTGATTTTAGAATCACTTCTGGGAAGCCTGCTTCCGTAGGACTGTAGCATGTGAGGAACGGTGAAATTGCATGATAGAAGCAAACCCCACCACCCCACCCCGCACACTTACATTGCTGGTGATAGGATTCTAATCACATAGCTGTAAAAAAATATACAGCTAAAATTATTTTTTGACAAATCCCAAATCATTGTCTATTTTGTTAATTTGTGTCAAGAGATGCAGGGCCTCCTGTGAAGTCTGATCTTGATCAGCAACAGGCTCAAGCCAGAAATAGGGAATAATCAGGCATAATTAACCTTCAGGATTCGTTACCAGAAACATGATGGCCATCAGCATACTTGCTTTTAAGCAGCTTGAATAAGGTCACAAAAGCCATAGCTACAAGAACCCATTAGATGGAATAAAACTCTATTCAGAGGCAATGTTTTTATGAAAGCCGATGGTTTGAGAGAAGCTACTGGTAGCTTCCAAAAGGATGCTAATAGTTCAGTCTCATAGAGGAGCTGGACATATAATTCCTTAATGATTGGAATGATGGCTTGGGGTTTTTGGGGAGGGCAAGAGAAATGCCTCAGCTGACCAATTCCATCTATTTCAGATGTTTTTAAGAACTCCCTGAAACTGGGGACCTTCTCGGCCATCCTTGTAACCTACGCAGCTAGTGCCCTCTTACATGTGAGTATCCCTTTATAAACTTTATAAACCATATTCCATTTCTGCATCTCTTGCAGCATAAACAAATATTTAAAAGTCTGAGGGCCAATCCTTAAATGTTGTCAAATTAGTGTACTGTGAGGAGATCTCAGTGCATCGTTATATAATGATCTACAAATTCCATCATCTAGTTACTTGTCCCATCTCCCCAGACATGCAGCAATAAGTAAATCAGGTGATATTTAGGAGAGATTGAGCAAGATAGAATGGCTGGAAATACGCAGATAAATAAATAAATCATACATCCCTTTTTGGAGTAAAGGGTGGTATTTTTCCTTCTTGTATTCTCTCTAGAATTTTTGACCAGATTCTTCCATAAAGGCAAATTGTTTCCTTCTAACTAGCCTTCACTCATTTGTACATGCCTGTCAGAGTTTGTTGCAGCACACACAAACAGACACAATTAAATGAACTTCAGCAGGATTCAAATTACATAAGAAACTTCTTTATATACAATACCATACAGGAGAATTCAGCATACAAAATCCGGAACACAGAAGCAATATTCATAGAAGCAACTCATTACAGAGTAGAGAGATACAGAGGCTAATATATTGTACAGAGATTCTCATTAGAGGTCAAACCAACTTTTATATACACTTCAGCAAGTCTAAGCCACGCCCACACTTCAAACTGTCTCTTATGGTCCCATACAACAAATACTATGTTTCAGTTACCAAACAGCCCTCATTGGCTGACCTGGTGCTATGCCCTATTCCAGTTCAGGAATATACTTTGACAATGCCAACTATGTGAAGGTTGGATTTGTGGGAGTTTCAGGGTACAGCAGATTTATTTCCTCAGAGGATCAATAGTGTAAGTCTACTAAAATTTCCTCCCTACCTCACAATTACCAGGGCAGTTTTCTTTCTCTCTTTCGTTTCTTTCTTTTTCCTCAGTGCTTTGACCTGGCTCACTATCTGTCCCGTCTCTCCCACCCCCCTTTGCTCCCTACCTCCCCCTCCCCTCGCTGGCCCATGGAGGAGAATTACAATGCTGATCCGGCCCGCGAAGAAATCCAGTTTGACATTCCTGGTTTATATAGTCCGGCTGACCTTAACATTGTCAGAACTGCCATCATATGCTAAAGCTTCGCATTCACTAGCTGTCAGTCTGCCATAAACTTTGGGGGGAGGGAGCCGGTGGGGAGGAGGGAAGTACTATTCATCGTATTTTCCAGCGACATCGTCTCAAGTCCTGGGAATGGAATGTAACGGCTCACCAAACAGCCCTTGTTGAAGAGACAATTACCAAAACAATTTATTCAAATATAATTGGACAATAAGGGACTAACAAGGGGGAGGAACTGAAAGGGAAAGTTTGGCGTGCAAACATCAGTTCTGGCTTTGCTATACTATAATCCACTTGGCTTTTAGTAAAAGTATACCTTTCACTACAAACGGAGTCGAGAGTCTTTCTTAATTAAAGGACAAAATTGGGGCATGTCTGACAAAGTTGTTCTCCCTTCCCCTGTGTTTCCTGGCTATTTCCTCCTGGGGGAGAGATCTGTTCATATGAGAAGAATTGCTGTCCACTTTTTATCTGGCGCCTTGGGAAATCAGTCGCCTTGGCGACTGTTCTGTGCATCTACCTTTAAAGACGACCTGGTGCAAAGTGGGTTTGATGTGATCATTCTAACTGCAATCTCATTTCTTTTAGGGGCTGAGCTTCCATTTGGCTGCTGTGTTGTTGTCACTCGGCTTCATCACTTACATTGAACACGGTGAGTCATTCATTGCTGTTTTTCTCCTGCTGAGATGTTCTGCTTTTTTTCCCCTTCTCTATTGTCAGATTTCTGTGCCAAAGCCAAGTCAGATAAAATACTATTTTATATATTTATTGTTGCTTTTATTGTAAATAACAGCCACATCCGATGAAACATATTCCTTAAAAAGATGGGGGAAGGCATTCTTCTAATATTAATACTAGGAAGATTTCGATCAGCAAGTAAATTTTCAACTGGCACTTAAAAGATATGTTATTAATACTAAGTCTTCCACTTCCTTGCAGTTTTAATGTGGGCACCATCATCACAAAAACCTGCCTGTTAGGAAATTGCCAGGTGGCATGTAGCAACTTTCAATGTCTTTAGCAGAACCTCCCTTGATAATTATTATTATTAGATTTTAATCTAATTTTTCATCTCTATTTCAAAGCGGCAAACACACTCATGCTTCCCATTTCCCCACAACAATCACTCTATCAGGTGGTTGGGCTGAGACAGGACTGGCCAAAGTCACTCAGTCAGCTTTTATGCATAAAGCAGAACTAGAACTCACCATTTCCTGGTTTCTAGGCCCGCACCTTCGCCACTATATCACACAGGCTCACAAGCCAAACAGATCTATAATTAATTATCTTGAAATGATCTAAAGACAGATGTCATTTTGCAAATCTGTGCTAAACTTTTTGAGTTTTTGCATTTTTCTCTCCTCCATTTGGGAGGGAAAGGATATTCAAAGCTCCTGTAACGAATTAGAATGCTGGATTGAATCCCAATATAGGAAATTTGTTTGGAGCAAACATTCCTTAGTTAAGCAAATCAAGGCTTAAGAGCTAAATCGTGGACAGTTTTGAGCACAACTTTGCTTGCCTGGTTTCCATTTAGTTCTCAGAAAGAGGTTGTCTGTCATCTTTGATGCGTGTATACTCTCCAAGAAGTGTCAACCAGGATGCTCACATCGCCACAGCATGGTAAGTATGTGCTGAAATCTCAAGGAATCAGAGCCCATTCCCTTTTACACTTCATGCTAGAGTAATATTCTAGCATGAGGTGTGCAGCTTTGATGCTGTGGGAGTGCATACGGCCCGTGGCTTCTACAACACATCTGCAAGAGATGAGCTCACACCTCTATTGCTCATTGTCTCTCTTTCCAGTACATGAGAGAGGAAAAGCAGAATGCCAGTGAAAGAATAAATAACCCTCCCCTTTCTGACTCTGGCCTTGTCCACTCCTTGCTTCAACCCTATCCCTTACAGCTGTGATGGCAAACCTATGGCACGCGTGCCACAGGTGGCACATGGAGCCATATCTGCGGGCATGGGAACCGTTGCTCTAGCTCAGCTCCAGTGTGCCTGCGCACGCCAGCCACCTGATTTTTGGCTGGTCCTGCCCACGCTGCCCCTCCCCTCCCAGGAGTCTCCACGTGGCCCATTTCAGATACCAAGTAAACACAGGGCTTGCGTGGAGGCTCTGGGAGGTGTTTTCTGCCTCCGGAGGGGGCGGGGGAGGCCGTTTTCGCCCTCCCCAGGCTCCAAGAACGCCTCTGGAGCCTGAGGAGGGTGAAAAACGGGCATACCAGGCCCACTGGAAGTCGGGAAATGGGCTGTTTCCGGCCTCCGGAGGCTTCAGGGAGGCCTGCTAGGCCCAAAACGGGGTGCGGGGGGTGTCATGAGCGCATGTGTGGGGGAGCGTGGGGGAGGTCACATGTGCATGCGAGGGGGGCCTGGTGCAGGGGGGCATTGAATTATGGGTGTGGGCACACATGCATGCGACACCCACCCCTCACCCCCCGCTTTTGGCATGTGACGGCAAAAAGGTTAACCATCATTGCCCTACAGCATCAACTGATTGTGCCAAAGATTGTACCTTGGATCTAGCAGGGTCAGGCCTTCCTGATCCTGAAATCTCTTTCAGCTTTTGGGTCTGAAGTTCATTGAAGCCTAATGTAACAAGGAAACGTGGCTTCTTATACAGTATGAAGCCTCTTGACTAGGCTGTTTATGTTGGTTGGGGGAGTGGCGGGGTGAATCCTGCTTGTTTACAGTTGGGTTGAACCTCTGATGCTTCTTCTGCTGCTACAGAATCTCTGGGTTCGTCTCCTCAACCTGCTCTTTGGGGCTCTTGCTGTCTTCCACTTGGCCTACTTAGGCTCATTATTTGATATGGATGCCGATGACTCTATGGAAGAACAGGTGAGATATCCAGAATAGCGGGAAGCGGCAGGATAGAAGTTTTATGGGATACCTGTGCTGGACGTATTTTTGGGAGCAGTCCTAAGAAAAAGTGTACAGGTAAATGTACTAATGAAAAATCAACTTTGTGACCAGTCTTCGCATTTATGACCTTTGCTGGTCTGTAAAGCAAAGGAAAACTGAAATAAGATTATAAACACAGTTATAATTTCACTTAGTAACTACTTCGCTTAACAACCATTCCCAGTCCCAATTGTCATGAAACAAAAACTGCCTATATTATCTGAGAGACCCCCCCCACTCCTTTATTTTAGCCTAATTGATCTAATAATGTGCAGATGTGCTTCACAACATCTCCCATCTGCCTGAAGATGGCAGGAGGTTTAGGGACCGTCCGCCAGGACTTCATGAACTTTCCCTGAAAATTCAGAGGGACACAGAATCGTCTCTGATATGCCTTTCTTGTGATGTCTGAAGCCAGATCAGATGGAAGGCAATTGTCAAGTTTCCAACGGATGTCCTAATTAAATCATGAGCCTAGAGCCAAGCTTCAAAAGAAATCCAGTTATTTATTAGGAGCTCCATGTCAGCACATACCCAAATGAAGCCAACTTTGACCCCACATAATTTACAGCCCTAATCATGACCCTTTTTCCCCCCTCCCCCCAGGATGTGTCATCAATCACATCGCCAATGGAGCAATTTTGGGGTTGTAGAGACCACTCACCTCCAGCCGCTGTCAGTAACCCTGGGAGACAGCCTTGAGAAAAATATGTCTGGAATGTGCTCCTCTCTGTGGCTGCCATGTTGCTTTGTCGGTTTCCCATCTCCCCTTGCCTATGGCAACTCGAGAGCAGGCCAGGGATGCTTTGCAAGTTGACAGCAATATGCCATTGCCACACTATAGTAGAGCAGGCAAAGATGGCATTGGGAAATGGTGGGGATCATCACCATCATCCAGACCACAGACAGATAACAGGTAGACCTCACTTAACCAATGGTAACTGAACTGTCACTAAGTGACACAGTTGTAAAGTGGAATGTCAATCAAGCTTTGCTGGCTGAGGAATTCTGGGAGTTGAAGTCCACAAGTCTTAAAGTTGCTAAGGTTGGAGACCCTTGGTTTAGAGCATTGTTTGCGCATATTGGAGCACAGATTATGGCTACTTGGACTGAATGCTGCTCCCTTTCTGTAATGGTTCATGCATAAAATCATCTCCAATGTCTCATCTTGGAGGCTGTTCTTCACCCCACCCCCACACCCCATGGCCAACTTTGTTTTCATGGAAGGCCGAAATAAGGTGACACTCTTATTTGGCCTAATTTGGCTTATGGCAATCAGCTCCATAGCTGAATGGAAACAAGTATTTATTAAGAATGCAGATCTTCGTTTATTACTTGCTTAAGACTACACTAGATATTACTGGTACCTATTGAAATGTATCTTAAATATCCTGAGGGATCAAAACTTAAAAAATGTAGCAGTGACAGAAAAAGGAAATCTCTCAGTGCAATCATGGAATAGGGGGGGAAAATCCCACTAAGAAAGTCTCAGCCTTTCTGAACTTCAGTGGCCATCATCTCCAGTTAGTCTGGAAACTACAGTCAGCTAACAATTTAGGGGAACTTGCCTGTGACAAAAGACTAGGCCCTGCGTATTTATTTGAAAAGAGATGGTCTAAACTCTTCCCTGTCTGAATGGCAGCCTCTCCACCGTCAAGAGTTGTCTGTGCCAGAATCTGACTTGGATGATGTGCTGCTTTTCCCTCTAGGGCTACGGCATGTCTTATACCATCAACAAATGGTCCGAGTTGAGCTGGGCCAGCCACTGGGTGACCTTCGGGTGCTGGGTCTTCTATCGTCTCATCAGCTGAAGCAGGACCTTCATGTGAACTCGAGGAGATGGAGCAGGGGATGGGTGGAGAGGCAGAATTGATAGACTCCTCACCTTCAAGAACATTGGATGCCCACCATCGACTTGAGTGCCATGGATATTGACTGATTCATTCTTTCTCTGGGATGCTGATGGAGGGAAGCCCCGCCCCCTCCCCCCCTCCCCCAGCAGTTCAGTTGCGTGCCCTAAAGAGGGGAGGAACATGCATCCTATGTAGAAAAGGCTGGTTGAGTACGAAGGTATTCTCCTGAATACCTATTTTTAAAAAGCCTTTTCTTCCTTTTCCAACATGGTCTGGACTACAGTATCTATAATATTCTTCCATTGGCTTCCTGGGTCTTGTGGGAGTTGTTATTCAGAGGGTACCAGATTGCCAATTCAGATATTGTACCTCTTTGAGAAAAAACTGGCTCCTGCCAGGTCCTTGATGACACTCCCTCTAGTGGCAATTGAAGAAACTGCACCAGCTTTCCCTCCGCTCTGAATTATTTTTACTGCATGTTTTGCCTCTTTTTGCTCTTTTGCGGCTGCAGGTGGGAGCTGCACCCACTGCTTCCGAGGTACCCCTTATTACTCCTTATGAAATTCTGTCTTTAGTGTAAAGTCTGATGATTAGCCAAATGGGAATCATGATGCTTTAAACTGCATTGAAGATGCTGTTGATTACCTTTAAAAGTAGGACAGTTTGTGTAGATGTAGTAGCTTTCTCTGTTTTGCTTCTAAAGCCCTTGGATTTTTTGGACAATCATGGCAGAAGCATTGTTGAGGCCATAGAGAAGACGGCTGGAAAGTCATGGGAAAGAGCACAAGAAATTCTAACTGGGGATAATCCTCAAGGAGAACTGAACCTTTTGAAATTTTCACTATCTGAATCTATGGAATTCCTGTTCATTTCAATTTTTATCCACTGTGATATGGTGGCAGAAACTGGCATCATTTTTTTTAATCAGAGTGAAGCTGCTCAGATATTTAATTTGGTGCCAAATTCTGCACAGAAGCTTAAACTGCACTAGTAATAGCATACAATGGATTGGATTAATTAATCTGGAATAACGCTTGCTCCATAGTTTAATGAATATATTGTGGATAAAGTGCCCACTAAGGGTTAAAAAGAAAAAGGAGGACTGGGAGAGGAGAACCATTGTGCCTTCTTGACATATGTTACCCTCCTATCTTTATAAATAGATCAAAAGCTTATTCCAATCAGTTGGAGAAAGTATCCCCCAATTTCTGTTACTGTTCTGACCTAGACTTCCTGATACAGTAAAAGCACACAATGAGTCCCCAAAACCCTCTTTTTATTTCAACGACTGTGAATTCTGGTCATTCAGAGCCTGTTCATTCTCAATCTGTTCATTCACAGATGAGTCCTAAGTAGTTGCAAAGAGTCAGACAGAAGTCTGCCAGAGTTCTTCTGATAAGGCTGATAAACACCCACCTTTATCTCCCTTGGCACGCTGCCAAGACCTAATTGGCAATTAACTCTGCAAGGCCACACGGAACACAGTCTTGAAATAGGACGAACAACAGTTGCCTCCTTTATGTCTTATGGGAGGGGCCAATCATCTCTAAGCCCTACTCCCGAGTCGTCCCTTTTGTTTTAACTTCTTGCCTTCTGACAGCTCTGCGCATGTGCTCATTGGGAACAGGCTCCCCCTGTTCCTCTGCCTCGCTGATGTCTGACTCTGGAGGCTCCGGAGTCTGCACATAACTGTTCTGTTCTGTCAACTCCCAGATGGCCCTGGCCCCATCTCTGCCTCCAATGCAGAGCCCTCGTCCGAGCTTTCCCCAGACTCCAGGATTGGCCCATGTTCCTCCCCAGCCTCCTCACTGTCCAACTATTCTGCCAGCTCCGCAGGTCACCAGCGGACCACAAGAAGTTATGCAGTATTTATAAACTAAGGATTGCATTGTTTCCTTTGTCACCAACACACCAATAATCCTGAAATGCATACAAGCTATTTCGGTAGTATACTTCCTGTTAGAAGTACCACCCTGTCATTGCAGCAAAGAATGAACCTTTAACTTGTTTTGTCAAGGGGGAAGCAAGATCACGACTAGGAACAATAGAATCAGAACATTCAACATGGACAATGCCTAATCATGGAAAGGTGGAACATTGAGCACTTCTCTAACTCTCTTCTCCTATAAAGGGAAGCTAAATGCAGACAAACCTTTTACACGGGGAGTTTATAAAAGCTTAGAGAGCCAATGTACTGGAGATCTCGTAGAGTCACTACCTGAATCAGTTCAGGTAGGACAAGTGAGACACATTTATGGTATCGGACTCATTGGGCAACAATATAAGTTCCTGGCACATTGAAAGTAAATGGTTTTGTGAGAAGCTATCACCCTTTCCCTAACATGCTAGTTTATTATGTGCGTTGCCATTTTTAAAAGTGCATGTGTGAAAAAGTGACACACACACACCAACTACAAATGGAAGTATTCATTTTTCCCCCAATCCAGATGTCCTCCAGAGTGTTGGACTTAAGGTGTCTTCCCACAATTTTTATTTGCCGGCCCAAATACAATAGTAAAAAAGGTTGCATTGTGATCTGAGTTTTGATCACCTTGCTACTTCTCCTTGCCTCTTTCTTTCTGTAAGGGCATAGCAGAATAAGTGTGCAACCGGACGCAAAAAATAAGATCAAAGAGAATATTTCAGCAGATAATGCTTGTTTTTTGTGTGATACTGGTGCATGTTGAGCCTCTTTCTTCCATCCAGCTGTTTAAAGCCATGGATCCTGATTCCTTTTAGCATTTCCTTATTTACTAATTCTTTGGTTTTGAAGGAATCAAGACCTTGCTGGAATAGAGTCTAGTTCCACTCCAAGTCTTTTTGTGGACTACAGTGTTAAAATCCCAGGTTATGTCTTCTGGCCCTTGCCTAGGTGAGGTGGAAGATGCTATGGACCATAGGTAAACTATTAAAAAATGACTGGCTATTCTTTTTTAAAATGCCTTTGATTTGTTTATAAAATAAATATTCAGTGGAAACACATGGGCAATTTTCTGGTGTTTTACATGTTTTTATATGTAGATTGTTGAAGTTTTCCTTTTATATATATATATAATTTTTTATTGAAAATTATTAAAAAAAATACAAAAGAAAAATATAGCAATATGGATAGAATTGCAGAGAGTAACATAATACATATAGAGTTTTGAACATTAGCTTTCACCTGATAATAGCACAAACCTCCATTAAGACAAAATCATCAAAATAGAAGGCATATCCAGGAGAGAGAATTCCCAACTACCATACAGTATTCCTATAAATATTTACCCACAATCGTATTGAGATTATTATTTTACATTCTTCTTAAGATTTCTTTCTTGCAGCCAAGCATACCACCGGTCCCAACTCATATATATCCTTAATTGTCTATCTCATAAGAGACCGGTAAGTTTGTCTGTGTCTATGTCTTTGTCTTTGCGATTAACATAGCCTCCGATGGTATATTTTTGGATTTCCATTCTTGAGCAAATGCGATCCTGGCTGCAATGATGATGTGGAGAGCAAGATAGCTAGGAAATATAGTTCTTTAGGGCATATTTTTCCTATTCCTGGCAATGAATAATAGGACATTGTTGTTTAAGAAGAGTTATTTGAAATCAGGATATGCAAACACAGTTTCCCTGCATTTAATGAAATCACAAAACATCACTGCAACCTGAGCTACCTCAGAAGGCTACCGTACCAAAAAAACTCATTCCTTACCAGTGTGGTGGATTAGTTTATTTGCAGATGAAGAGAAGGAGGCAACTAATCCAAGGTTTAGATCACATAAGTATTATTTTAAAATTAGTCTGTGAGATTCAATTATTGTAGTTGATATTCACAAAAAGACATTCTATGTGTTGGGAAATACGCATCTCCCAAAATCCTCTCAGCTGAGCTGACCCTAGGATTCTGTTTGTGGAATAGGATCTTCAAGATTGTGAATAGCTTAATACTGTAATACTTGCATAATACTTAATACGCTACAGATAGGAGTTGTTTACCCTCTAGAGCAGTGGTTCTAACCCTATGGTCCACGGACCCCTGAGAAGGGGCCTTGATGTCACAGGGGATCCATGAAGGCTTGTAGAAATGTTATGATTTAAATCTTGAGTTACGTCTTGGTGGTCCATGGCCAAAAGGTTTTTAAATGAGATCCGTGATGAAGAAAAGGTTGAGAACCACTGTTCTAGAGGAAACTCCAAGCCGGATAGCAGTGTATTTTACTACAGATTCATACTGCTAAAATATTAGGACTGTAACATTTTTTTAATCTATCGGATGCATTCAGGAACTCATGGCAGGTGAGGAAAGCTGGACTTGGCCCTGTTGCCAAGACACCCATCTTAGCCTGTGTCAATGATTAATTCAGTGACTAATGATGAGAAAGGAGGAAGTCATTGGCTGGGGAGTGGTACCTGTCCCAGTGAGAAGAAAATGGCGCGTGACCCAAACTGCTCCCATATCAGCGATCAATTGCCTCTGTCATCCGAGATCTTCCAAGGTGAGGATGGGGAATTTGTGGAAAGCTGCAGCCCGGACAAGTTGAGGTTCTGGTAATGAAGGGTGAAAGATGGAGAGAAGGCAGAATAAAGGCATCATCCAAAGTTCCCCAGAGGTTAGCCTCATAAATACAGTTTTGCTGACGATAGCCAAATAATAACGGGAGCATTCTGCTCAATGCAAAGTCTTTCCGTTATGAGAGCAAGTTTGCTCTACAACATTTTGAATTAAAAGGGAGGGAATTCAGTAAAATATGACTTCCAACAGGAATTAGGAACGGAGATTAGAATCGGCTCTCATCTCTCCAAACCACATTTGCCTGTTTCCTACAGTTATCAAGGCTCAGATCTGGATTTTCTTAATCCCAGTATTCCTGGGTCTTGTGCAAGTTGGCCTATTTCTGGAACAAACAGGCTTCTTCTTACGGCACGGCAAGAGTTCCCATCGCACCAGTGTTTTGCTTTGGATCCTGGGAGTTTATCCGGTAAGAATGGAGCAAAGGAACTCCCACCACTAAACATCTTACAAAGGAAGGCTTACAAAGCTCAGTCAACTCCTCCATAGAATAGTTGGTTTAGCAAATCTGTGGCAGCTGCCACAGGCAAGCTCCTTTTTAAGTAGGACTGCAGCAAAGCATAGCTCAGGATCACTCGTCGTAATTTCTTCAAGGAAAAGTGTGGTTATGACATGTACCCTTCCTTACATACAGGCCACGATTCAGGTCGTCTTGTGATAGATCATTCATGGACAGCCACTTCTTTACAAACCCACACCCACAGTTGCTGTTGGAAGATAGAAGGGTGGCCTTTGCTTAGCCTTATAGCAACAAAAATCATCACGAAAGGCTCTTCTTTCAGGGGCTGCCAGATCTGAGCGCTAAATGTAACAATCCTTCACTTTTTTTTTTTAATTTGATTTATATGCCGCCCTTCTCCGGAGACTTAGGGCGGCTTACAATGCGTTAAGCAATAGCCTTCATACTTTTGTATATTTATACAAAGTCAGCTTATTGCCCCCACAAACTGGGTCCTCATTTCACCTACCTTAGAAAGGATGGAAGGCTGAGTCAACCTTGAGCCTTGGAGAGATTCGAACCAGCAGTAAATTGCAGGCAGCTGTGTTAATAACAGGGTGCGTAGGCCACTGTACTATCAAGGCTCAAGACTTGGGACAATATACATCTCAGAATACCAGTGGCTCAACTGGACAGTGAAAATATCACACTATAAAATGTATAAATTCTGCCTAGATGTTCGTTCATCTCTTTTGTGGGTGGCGCGGCAAAAAAGAAGAGGAGTAGTAATCTTGGGAATGGTAGAGTGCATAGGAACACTTGTAGGGTGTCTTACTAGCAACGGACAAATTACAATTTAAAAGGTACAAATTTATATATTCTTCTCAAACAGGTATTCAACCTCACCTCCCTCATCTGTTTGTACATCCCTCGAGCTTCCTTTGTCTGTAACTTTGTGGCTTCCATGTAAGTTTCTCTGCATGGGGACAGTGAAGGGTGGGGGGAGGAATGCAGCAAACTCCAACTGTACCACAATTTCTGCTCCAGCTCATCAAAGGACTTGCTGCACTAGCAGCTTTCACCCTTGAAAACAGATGCAGAGTTTCAGCATTCTAACTGCAGGCACTGAATTATGCTGTGTTGTTTATCTGAGCTAGGCCTTGCAGTGGTGTGCTCCACTCTTGATCCTTTACAGCAAAAGCAAGAAACTGAATCCAAACAGACCTTAGATTCTCAATCATTTCTCCTGCACCCTTTGTATCAGGGGTGGGTTCTAAATTTTTTTACTACCGGTTCTGTGGGCGTGGCTTATTTTGTGGGTGTGGCTTGGAGGTCATGTGACTAGGTCGGCGTGGCTAGCCGGTCAGAGTCATTTCTGGAAGGTCCTCGCACTTACGACCAGTCCTCACACTTAGGACCCGACTCATTTGTTTGCTTTTAACACTGATCAGCTGTAGGACGGCCCTTTGAAGCCCCGCGGCAAGAGTTTAAACAGTTTTTTTTCCCTCTAGTCATCAGCTGGGACTTAGGAGGCAGCAATAGATTGGGGGTGGGACCAAATAAAAGGTAACAATAACGTGCGGGGGGGGGAACCGGTTCGGTGACGTCATATTGTCACCGCTACCGGCTGGGCCGAACCGGACCGACCGGGAGGAACCCACCACTGCTTTGTATACTGGAAAATGTGGAGGGAAATATCTCTTCCTCTCTCTGAAGCAGGGGTGGGTTCTACTTACCTTTACTATCGGTTTGCAATGGGGCCGTGCGCACATGCACGGTCCGCTAGCTCGCGCATGCACTCTTCTGCGCAAGCACAGAAGCGTTTTGATGACATCCGGGTCAGTGGGTGGAGCCTCCCGCCGGTTTTACTACCGGTTCTATAGAACCAGTGTGAACCAGGGGCAACCCACCACTGCTCTGAAGCCCTATCTGTTGTCCACTGCATGGAAGTTGCCATCTGCATAAGAAAAGCTCTGTCTCTGACAGTCAAACTAGCTTCCTAGATTGTAACAGAAGGGACTCTGGAAGACTTCTAGTCCAACTCCCTGCTCGGGCAGGAAACCCTATACCAGGGGTGTCAAACTTGCGGCCTGTGGGCCAGATGCATCATGCGCTGGCCACACCCATGCCCAGTTTAGCAAAGGGGGAAAAGTCACAATACATCACGTGACGCCGCCATGATGACGCGAGTTTGACATCCCTGCCCTATACCATTTCAGACAAATGGTTGTCCAATCTCTTCTTAAAAACCTCCAATGTTGCAGCATCCACAACTTCTGGAGGCAATTCCTTCCACTGATTAATGAGTCTCATGCCTTCTTAATCAATCAGAATAGGATTGGAAGGGACTTTGGAGGTCTTCTAGTCCAACCCCCTGCTCAAGCAGGAGACCCTATACAATTTGAGACAAATGGCTGTCCAGTCTCTTCTTAAAACCTCCAGTGAAAACCTTTAGTCAAGTTCATGGGCGCCCTTAAAAAGGTCTGTGAACCATAGTTTGACAAACCCTAGCCTAAAGTATTAGGGCCCATAAGAACTTCTTTCTGGGAAAGGAAGAAAAAGGGGTGTCCAATCTTTAAGACTTGTGGACTTCAACTCCCAGAAATCTCCAGCCAGGATAGTGATTGGGTAATTCTGGGAGTCGAAGTTCACAAGTTTTAAAGTTGCCAAGTTTGGACATCCTTGGTTTATATGCAAAGGGAAGGAAAGCTTGAAAAAGCAGTCCCACATGCAATGTTCTCTCTTTCTCACTATGTTTTGGTTAGTTTTGCTTTTTGCATGAAGCTTTCTCAAGCTCTTGGCAGCAAAGGGATGGACCCTGAAACCAAAGGAGAGTTTGATGCACAGAAACGCTCCCATAAAAAGAAATTAAACACAAGAGAAGGAAAGGTGAAAGGAAGCACTGTTCTACACGAACAGTCGAAACCCAGAAATATCCACAGCCATAATCACCGAAGACCAAACTCTCCTGACATTACTTTGGCATCAATTATAACTCATCTGAACTGAAGCATAACCAACACTTGTTGGTGCTCTGAGGTCAACCTTCCCTATCTTGGGTACCCTTCTTGAAGTATGTTTTTCCCCCAGCAGAAGCTATTGTGAGAATTCTGGATGGCACCCAGTTAAGAAAAGGCTGACCTCAGTGCATTGCTTGCAAGTATTGCCTCCAGCCATTCTTGCCTTTCTTTTGGGCCATGGAGTGGAAGCAACGGACTTCTGCAAGAGGAAACTTGGTTGGTTGGTTACCTGGCCAACCTAGCAGGCCAAATTAGTCTTGCAAAGTAATGGTTCTCCAGTCTTAGTCAGGGGTAGCCTTTTCTAAACTTACCTCTTCCTAACAGCTCCCCATCACATTTAACTATATCACTCCTGGTTGTAATTGCCCATCACACCTGGAGAGTGCCATGTTTAGCTATTAGTCTGCAACTGGGTGAGGGGTTGTAACCCACCATAATATTACTAATCTGGGCTAAGCCTTGAATGGGTTTCTATCACAGAATAGAACATCTCTCTATGCATGCTTGCATTAAAGGTGGTTTTGCCTCTGAGAAGGCTGAAAGCTTCTGTTCTCAAAAACTAGCTGCTTCATGACAAGGGCAACTATTTGTCCACAATCCAAATTTTGCACCTTTTAACTAATGGGGGCTCTTTGGGCTCTCCAAAAAAACAGTTGGTTTATTGGTGTTACAGCTGCACCCCATGCAAGTTCATATTTGAAACTCAGTAAATGTAGAATTTTCTGAGAGAGTCCTGTCCCTATTGAAGAGATTCTGATCACTAAGTCTTGGGATCAGAGGCCTTCAAAGAACTTGCAACTGCTACATTTCCAAGCGAAGAAGGGATATGGGGGTAATTTTCTTTTCCTAGCAAACTCAGTTGTGTTAAAACCTGGATGGGGAAGGTGGCTATGTGTGCAAATTTATGCATTAATATCTGTGCAGTCATCTAACTTGCGTGCAGTGTAAATATGAGCCCTGATGTCAGGGTTCCCATGGATGCCCTAATTAAATCATGAGCCTCGAGCCAAGCTTCAAAGGAAATCCAGTTATTTATTAAGAGCTTCATTTCTGCACGTTCCCAAGTGAAGCCAGCTCTGACCCCACGTAATTTACAGCCCCAATCATGCCCGTTTCCCCCCTCCCCCTAGGGTGTATCATCAATCACATTCCCAATGGGACAATTTCCTGGGTTGTAGAGATCACTCCCCTTCGGCCGTTGTAAGTAACCCTGGGATACAGCCTTGAGAGAGATAAGTCTGGAGTATGCATCTGTCTTTGGCTGTCCCCCCTTTCCTATGGCAACTCAAGAGCAGACCAGGGATGCTTTGTGAGTTTACACCTGATTTCTCAGTGTCTATAGCCCATTGGGGTCAAAACAGGTTGTTTACTGCTGTTTTTGCTGAAGATGTTTGAGACTTGCTACATGGAAAACATCTGCTCTCTAACTGCTCTCTAATCCTTTTGATTTTTGTTTAAGCTACATACAATAAAATGTATGGCTGGGCCATTTAGATGATGGGGTCTCATTCCTTTGCCATATGAATGTCTTTCTTACCCTATGCATACAGATGCAAAACCTGTATGCGGATCAGTTCACTTGATATTAGTAATTGGGTCTCAAATTGACATATCAACCAGCCGTCATCCCAGTATTTTAATCTTCATTGGAGACCGTGTATTATAGATCTCTCTTAGCCTTAAAAGTAGCCATAGGAGTAGAAGTTGGTTGCACCCAACTCTCAGTTTGCCTTATCAATCTACCTGATAATGATTGCTTGTGGGTTGCATTTTCTATTTTTCAAATGGGCAGCCTTGTCTCTGACAGTTGAAATAAGTGCTGAAAATAAACATTCCATATTTCAGTTTGGTATCCCAGGGAAGTCAAACAGGCCACTCAGATCTCTTCTTCTCCACCTCCTAGCTGGTGTACCTTTTATGCAATGTTCCTATTCTTATTGCTGCAGCTACCACTCCATCACCCTTTGGAAGTTTCTTGCACTGATCCGGGACTTCTTTGGTGGCTCAGAACGCATGGTCCAGAAACTGGCAGGGCAGCGGGTTTCTCCGAACCCTTTCCCGTGCTGCTGCTGCTGCTGCCTTCCTGAGATTGCTGCCAATCGGTAAGAGCCATTTTGAACCTTCCTTACTTTCCCTCCTCTTTATAACATAGCAAATTGCTCTTTGTCCTTCTTCTCTCCGTCCCCTCACTCATCCCGGCAGAGCAAACTTGCGATGTATGACTGTGGCAGTGTATCAGCTCTCCCTCATCCGGACCATCCTGTTCTTCATCACCCTTATCCTCTGGACGGACGATGAATACGACTATGGTGCTGTGAGTAATTTGGGTCCTGAAATTCATAGACAGTGAGCAAAAGAGATAACTCCTGTAAACTAGAGAATGGTCTAGAGTCTCTAGAGGCTTTTTCCATGGATATCTTCTTGGGTGGGTGGAAATAGTTTATCTTACATGTTTGGTTGATAGACATTTCCATTGGATTGAGGTAACTGGAATGAACACGGCATTACGTCTTGTGGAGCAATGAAGCTTGTCTTGGTTATCACCGAGATTTGGCTAAAGTAAACAATTCAACCTGAGATCAGCTATACTTCTATATAATGGAAATATATTGATGTTACGGGTAATGGCTGTCTCATTTTGAAAGTCATGTATATAACTGACAGCTGTGGAATGCAACAAATCATCATATTATAGTGTGGAAGGCTCCTGTTCAAGTTTCTCCCTAGCATCCCTTCCTGTATTATTAGTAAATCTGCATCCCAAGGTCATTAAAGATGCTCATTCCTCATTGAACTTTTTCTCCTACTCCCTGGCAAGTAATCCAAAGAGAATGAAGAAGGAAGACCCCTGCAGACCCAAGTGGCCAATTTTGTCATTGATCAAACAGTATTTAGACTCCCAGGGGGAGGGCCTTCTCTGTGGGGGCTCCAACCCTTTGGAATGAACTGCCCCCGGAGATACAGAATATCCCTGATCTCCATGCTTTCCGCCGTGCCCTCAAGACCCTGATGTTCCAACAGGCGGGGCTAAACATACGAACACGTGAATGATTTTTTAAATGTTATCTAATTCTGGGTTTTATTTAATTGACCAAACTAAGTAATAATTTTAATTAGCTATTTTATGATGTTTGTGTGTCTATATTTTTCTTGACTGTACACTGCCTTGAGTCCTACGGGAGAAAGGCGGTATAGAAATATAATAAATAAATAAATAAATAAATAAATAAATAAATAAATAAATAAATAAATAAATAAATAAATAAATAAATAAATAAATAAATAAATAAATAAATAAATGTAGCTCCAGTAAAAACCTAAAGGAAACGAAATAAATGGATGGATGTTCTGCTTAGATATATTATACAGTTTTGGAAGAAACCAATACTTTTAATAGTGTTAGCATGTTGAAAAGCAGAAGTCTTTTCTTATACAATCACTGTGCACTATGTCTTAGTGTTGTTCTAGAGCAGGGGTCGGCAACCCATGGTTCTGGAGCTGCATGTGGCTCTTTTATCCCTCTGTTGTGGCTCCCTGTTGCTGGTCAGCTCCACAATTGATAGGGCTTTAGGTTAGGACAGGTAGAGGAAAAAGGATGCTGCGCTAGGAGGAGACTCTATGGTGGGGGAACCGGACTTCCGGTTGGGTCCAGAACTGAATGGGGGGCTTCTGGTTAGGACCTTTGTGACTCTTTGAGTGTTTAAGGTTGCCGACCCCTGACCTAGAGAGATAATGTTCAGGAACCTTCTTAAGCTGAAAGATTTTTGACATGACTTTCAAATTCAGGACAATTAAAATCAACTTCTGCATGTCTGTGGGTCATAACTGAGAAGACTCATAGTGTGTCATGGCTTTTTCTCTTCCAGGTGGGCTACACCAATCCCAATTCCTACATCAATGTCATTATAGCCATCTCCACCTTCCTCTCCTTCTATGGCTATTTGCTCTTTTACAAGGCCACTAAGCCAGCCCTTGATGGCTACAACCTGCGCTACAAGTTTGTCTGCATCATTTTGGTTCTTGTCCTTTGCGGGCTGCAGAGTGGAATCGTGGAAACGATGGGAGCCGTGGGTGCCATTCCTTGCAGCCCATCTCTCCCACCTGTTACCCGCTCTCAAAGTAAGTCATTTCCATGAGGCACGGGGTTTATAAGAGGAGCAGGTGGGCTTAGAGATGTCTTTCTGACAATATAGCAGCAAACAACCAGCGAAGACTTTGGCAAGTGGCCGGTGAAGACTTTTAGCAAGAGTGTTTTTTCTGTGCCTTCTCTAGTTGGTTGTACTGTAGGGTTTTTTTCTTAGTAGTCGAAAAACGAGGAACCTAAACATACATACATACCAGGAGTGAAATCCACCAGGTTCTGACAGGTTCTGGAGAACCGGTAGTGGAAATTTTGAGCAGTTCGGAGAACTGGCTAATACCACCTCTGACTGGCCCCAGAATGGGGTGGGAATGGGGATTTTGCAGTATCCTTCCCCTGCCATGCCCACCAAGCCACGCCCACCAAGCTACACCACGCCCACCAAGCCACACCCACAGAACCAGTAGTAAAAAAATTGGATTTCACCACTGATACATACATACATGTATTAAATTTATATGCCACCCATTTCACTATCAAGCGACTATGGGCAGTTTACAACATCATATAACAAACATTGGGTAAACTAGGAACCATTACATGATGAGGATGGAGCTGGGATCTTCCTAGTCCACTAACCACCTCCAGCATGGAACACCCCCATCAGCATCCCAAGTCCATTGGCACAACCAGATTTTGAGGCCCTTTTGGAAGGCCTCAGGGACCAGTTCCATGGAGAGCGGTTTTTCCGCAGACTGAGGTTGGGGGAACTAGTTTTGCACGTTGCCTGCATTGCATGGCCTGGTTTCTGGCAGGCCATGGACTGGCGCTGGTCTGCAGCCCAGTGGTTAAGGAACCCTGGCCTAGAGGGTAAGAGCAGATCTCCAGAGACACGATGTTCCTGAAGGTGGGAACCAGTGGTGGGATTCAGCCAGTTTGCACCACTTCGGGAGAACCAGTTGTTAACTTTCTGAGCAATTTGGTGAACTGGTTGTTGGAAGAAATAATTAGGGCAGAGAACCGGTTGTTAAATTATTTGAATCCCACCACTGGTGGGAACCATGGCAGAAAAGGCTCTTTTCTTAGAACGTGCCAGCTGAAGTTCCTTGACTGATGGGATCCACCGCAGGCCCCTTCTGAGAGTGGAACGGGCCCATCCCATTGAGGTGAGATGGTTCCACAGGTAGGCAGGTCCCATGCCATTAAGGGCTTTAAAGGTAATAACCAAAACCTTTAATTACACCCAGAAGCAAACTGGCAACTACTCAGCTTACACAACAATGGTGTTTCATGGGTCAACCTAGGAGCCCCTGGGACTGTCAATGCAATTTTAGCTTTCAAATACTCTTCAAGTGTGGCTGTCAGGTTTCGGTGCTATCTTGAATAAACTTCATTCTCAAGCGCAAGCTGTCTAATGAAACATTTTATTTTTAAGCATAGCAGAATCCGACATTTCTGACTCAAAATTGCAGCCAAACTGGCCCCTCCTTCCAACCCCCTCCTCTTCCGCTCTCCAGCCCCCACGTCCCATTGGCCATCATACAGATCCATCTCTACATCCCGGCACGTTCTTTTCACAGAAATGCAGCCCCCACCCTCGTCTCCCAGGAAACCCTATCTGTATATACAAAACTAGGTAAAAGTTCATCTCAGCAATAAATCAAGCTTCCGCTCTTTCTGCTTCAACTTGTTATGTCAGCGCTGGAAGAAAGCCTAATTTGGAACGCTGACAGTGGCCCCATGTAGAGCCCATTACAGTAGTCCAGTAGACATGAATAAGAAAAAAAAGCTTGGGAATAGTAGTTGATGAGTCTGGCTTTGAAGCACAGGCATGGTGAAGCATGACTTCCTTGCCTGAATGTAGGTGCACCTTCCCAACAGCTTTGCTTTCTACAGTGGCAGAGGTAGCAGCAATGTGCCAGCTTCTGTGCTAGCTTCCCTTGTACCCTGGAGCTGCAGAAAAGGAGCCTGAAGGTTTGATTCTGCTCCTTTCCAAAGATTAGGCAGCGCCTGCCACCCTAATGAATAGTTCAAGAGTGCAGCTGAAGGTCCCGATTTCTCAAACTTATAATATTGAGTGAATGTATATAATGCCTTTTTTTTTTTTTGCAGAATTTTTTGTAGCTTTATTTGTCCTATAAATAGAGACATTCTGCAAGCCGATAAAGCCCCAGCTTGATCCTTTCCATTTTCCTTAGGCATTGCCCACACATTTTCAAAAATACTTTTGTGGCTACTTTTACAAAAAGGAAGCCGACTTGCACACATTGCCCCGTTTTCAGGATTTTGCAAAATCAAAACACGTAGACTGTTATTTCCTCAACCTGATTTCTTCCCGTCATGTGATTATGCTCCTAGGCAGGGGCGGGATTCAAATAATTTAACAACCGGTTCTCTGCCCTAATAATTTCTTCCAACAACCAGTTCACCAAACTGCTGAGAAAGTTAACAACCGGTTCTCCCGAAGTGGTGAGAATTGGGTGAATCCCACCACTGCTCCTAGGGCAGGGTGTCCAACCCCTGATCCTGTGTACTGGTACCGGGCCGCTGCATGACAAAAATTGGGCCGCGAAACAAGCAACGTCCCATCTCTGGAACGAAGGCAGTATGTGAAACCATGCCCCCTCTGGTCTGTGGAAAAAGCACTCTCCATGGAACCGGTCCCCGATAACAAAAAGGTTGGGGGCTGCTGTCCTAGGCCAGGGGTGGGCAATTGTGGCTCTTTTACAACCTGTGGACTTACACTCCCAGAAAAGCTGTCTCAGGAATTCTGGGAGTTGAAGTCCACAGGTTGTAAAAGAGCCACAATTGCCTACCCGTCCTAGGCAATTGGGAGATGAGCAAATAACATCCTTTCTGTAGGCTACCCGATCTTCATACTTCTCTTTTATCTTTCCAGTGATCTACTATTACGCTTTGGCCATTGAGATGTTCTTTATTGGCATATTTGCTCATTATTCTTTCCGAAGAATTGAACCCTCCATGGAAGCTGAGCAGGTCATCCACCATCAAGCCTCCCAGACCCAGGAAGGCCCATCTGGTCGTTGTAGCCCTGCTGATGGTGTATCTATGGAGGGAACAAACCCTGGCTACCTCTGTGATGAGGCTTTTTGTACAATTGAACATTCTCCCCTGGATCGCTTTGATTTCATTGTCAGGGAGCCTGTGAACAGACAGCAGCCAAGCTGGGGACTTGGCTGCCAGAGAGGGGGAGCCCTGAAGACAGAGGGACTTAAGTTAAGCCTACAACAACCTGGAACCGAAGCGTCAGGTGAAATCCAAATCCAATCCCACGTTAACAAAATGGAAGCAAATGGAGTCTCTGCTGTATAGCCACCTTCTTTAAAGGACGGAGACCCAGTGACAGCTGAATCCAGAAGAATGCATAATGTGGAGGGATACTGAACTCCAGGTATGACCAGGCAAGAATAAGCACCTGTGTGCAGATATGCCCAGAAATATAATTTTGTGGGAAATTTCAGTGCTTCCGTATTAGATGGAAAACCTTTGTTCTAACCATCGCTAAACTGCCTCAGGGTAGATTGTGAAGACCTGTTGGGAAAACAGAACCATTGTTCTTTTCCTCTGTAACAGGGCTGTCAAACTCCCGGCCCGCGGACCGGATGCTTCATGCGCTGGCCATGCCCATGCCCGATTTTAGCGAAGGGGGGGAAAAAAAGTCCCGACATGTCATGTGATGCCGCCGTGATGTGAGTTTGACACCTCTGCTCTATAACAACCCTTCTTTATACTTCTTTTACTCTTACTCTTTCCAGAAGCCTAACTTATTTTCTTGTGAAGGACTTTTCAGGTGGCGAAGGAAATTAGAGTGAAGGCCCCCCTTGTTCAACATTACAACTCTTGTTTGCAGTACTCACTAAACTAAAATATGGTTGGCTACTTTATGGCGTCATGAATCATACAAACCAGACGCTATAATTAGGTAGCACACTGAGAAAACCTAGGAATTTGGATTTAATCTGAAGACTACTTTTATGTGTGCTTTGTTTAAGAGAAAAAACTGGCAAACAGTCCACTGTCAGTGTAATGAAGCCAGAAACACTTAATATAGGCTCAACAGAGAAATTGGAAACATCTGATCAATTCATAAAGAATGTTGCTGATTAAAGGTCTCATTCATAGGCCACTCTGAATATCTTCCTGGAACCTATTGTTACTTAGTCTAAGAAAGTCCTGTTTAAAGCTATACAAGAATTTCAGGAGGGGGATGGGGAAAGGAGAAATTTAGGCAGTTCTGTACTGAAGCAAGCATTGAAGAAATTATAAAATTTTATTAAAATGTTGCAGTATAAGCACAGAGGAATTTCCTAGGCTTTTTGAGCAATAAAATAGGAAAAGGTGTAAAAGGAATGAAGTTACCATATTTTTCGGAGTATAAAACACTCCGGACTATAAGACGCACCTATCTTTTTTTTGGTGAGGAAAACAAGAAAAAGAAATCTGCCTCTGCCTTCCAGCAATTTTGCCTCGTTGCAGCAAAAAGCCTGCTTTACTTTCATTTTCGTTTTCAGCATAGCTTGATTAGCACAAGAAAAAAAAAATCTGCAATTTTCCTCCTTGCAGCAAGCAGCAGAGGCCTGCGCAGCAATAGGCAATGACAATCCCTGCAGCCTGAAACAGCTGAGAGTCGAGAGGCTGATCCAATGGACAATCAACTTGTGCTAATTAGGCTGTGCTGAAGCTGAAATGGTCTGTTTCTTCTTGCTGCAAGGAGGTAAATTGCTGGGAGGCAGAGGCCAAAGGGTGGGGGCCAGTGGATGGACAGGGCTACATTCGGTGTATAAGACACACCCAAATTTTCACCCCCTTTTAGGGGGGAAAAAGGTGAGTCTTATACTCCGAAAAATACGGTAAATATCTTTTAAACTAACAAGAACAAGCTCATGTGCAATTTTTCTCCTAGAACTGATATTATATGAGCATTCAAGTTATCCATTATCTCACTTTAGAACAGAGCTGACAAAGTTCTGAGGCTCTGTTTATACAACACACTTTAAATGTTAACCCACCAAGGTTTCAATTACCTCAATCGGCCTATTACTGCCTGGAGTGAAACTACACTCCCTTCCTTCACTTTCAGTATCATTGAGATGAAGAGCCCTGCAAAAACACTCCATTTCTGTGGTTGCTTTGATTGCCACTCTCTTGCAGATCTATGGGTAGGAGTGGAGCGAACTGAAAAAGGGACGAAGAAGAAGTAACCGTGGTTTCAACCATTAGTTCTCCCCTTTGGAAAGGGGGGGGGGAGAGGCAGGAAGTGAGGAGGAAAGAGACAGCCTCTCAAGCTGCTCTCTAACAGCCAGGTTGACTAATACAACAGCCCTGCACGATAGCCCTGGCCAATCTCTGTTACAAGCAGTCTGCTTCTGAAGTCTGCTGCTGAATATCCAGGTTGTCTATGTGGGGGGCGGAGTTCTTTTGCATTTCAATGTGATTCCAAAGGCTTGTGATAGTACCCATGTTCCCATGGGCCCTCAAAGTTCCAACTCTGGAGACAAGCTCATCCTTCCCACCTTTGCTCCTACAGAAGATAAAATGTAGTCTTTCAACCTGGCACAGGGTCACATTTTTCTTTTCTTAGTCCTGTGATTACGTTAGATTGACAGTTCCTCCAGGGCATCTACGACTTCAGTCTCTAGAGGAACATTTGAAACACCTTGCTCTGGCAGCTGAGAGTGGGGGCCTTGTTCCTTGGTAAGGAGGTTGTGTTTCTTTAAGAAGCAGGCTTCTTCGTAGGCAGGTCGGATGGGCGGCTGGGTCGGGGGCATGTAGGTATACTCCTTCTCAGGATCCAGCTGACCCAATGGGAGAAAGAGAAAGGCTCACATTAGCTTATTTAGGAACCTGCCCCTGGTTGGAACACCAGATCCCCAACATTTCTTCTTTTTCAACTTTCTCTCCGCCTGCTGTCAGGCTTCCTTGCCAACAGTTCTGGATTCAAAGATTTTGTACCAATTGTAGCCTCCTTGCTGGAGGAAAGAGTTGCAAATACTACTCCCGAGGCTGGCCAAAGAATGGGATCTGCATCTATTCATTCAAACAACAGAGCAAACCTGCTGCTTAGTTGCTGGGTTTGAATTTTTCCCAATTAAAAGCTCAACAAGTCTGGTTCATGTGAAAATTATTTTGGCTGAGCCATCTCTGTTTATTTCCTGATCACCTGCTACAACAGCAGGACACCGAGTCTTACCTGTAGCGGGTAGGTCCGATCAGAATCGTAAGCACTTAGATCGCCACAGGCCAGGAAAGGGACAATGACCCGATTGGGACCCTCCAGCTGATTAAAATCCACATCTGTAGTGGAGAGATGTCATAAAAGCAAGACAATTATTACCTGCAACAAGACCTCCTTCTAAGTATTGTCGTCTCGTAAATATTCTTAGATTTGTTCAACTTGTGCTTCTCTTCCACAATTGAGGAAGTTTCTTGTAACCCAGAATTTTTCTTAGAAAGTTTCATTTTTAGGGCAGAGGTAGTTTTTGTGGCTATTTGTGTTCTGATATTTGTTTTTAAAAAAACAATAAACAAATTTCCCTCCTCCTTCTCAATTCTACCATCTATATACTCCTAAAGTCTCATATTTGTCTGTGTATACCCTTTAACTAGGCAAAATGGTGCATCACTGGGCAACAAATTTTGAACCAAGGTACCTCAAATGGACTAATTTACAAAATATGTTCGAAGTCCAGAACCCATGACTCCTATGGAATTAAAACTTGGCAAATTTTATAAAACATTTAATGACTTAAAAGTGATCATAAAACATTTTTACAACATTATTATAAAATGTCATGAAACGTTTCCTGTTGCCAACTCCTGATGTTTGACTGTGCTATAAGAATTCAACATGGGTTACTTTCAAGGCAGAAAATCTCTGAATATCTCTCTAAAGTTTTAAGAACTTTTAAGAAAGACAACAGCATTGATCACTCTCAGAATCCCATCACTTACAATGTGCCTACAAATAACTTGAACCATTCACCCACTTCTTTTAGCATCCTTCTCCCACATTTCCCAGCATATCATCATCAACAATATCCTCTTTCCTTCAAGGTTTCTTACCATAGCAATGATCCAATAAGGGATTGGACATGTTTGGCACATAACCTTCAGGGGGACTGTAGTTTCGGCAAACAGCGAAGGCTTCTGAAAATGGAAAGGAAGTTAAAGCTTTAGATACCTTTTCGTCAGACCCCTGTAGTTCCCTCAATTAAGTCACGGAAGAGGGCAAACAACCTACTACTATCTGCCTCAAATAAGGTTACACTCTGCACTGGTCACGAACATTTCTGACCACGACCAAATAGGGTTTTTTTGTAAGTGGCAAATTTCCTGTTGTTTGTTTACAAACAGTGACCCACCTGTGGCTGCTGCATTAATTTTGCATTAATTTCGGGTCACGACCAAATCGGGTTGTGACCAAAGTTATGGAATGAATGGTCATGACCAGAGGTTCTACTGTATATATACTGTACATTCATAGACCGAACTCTCCCTGGATAGTATAATAGCCAAGAAAAGAGTACAGGGAAAATTGGGCTTTGCTGGAAATGGTTGTCGTGGGATTTTTCAGAGCAGAATAGGCTGACTTGAGGATGGGCAAGAAAGGGAACTTTGCTGTTCTTACAATGCATAAGAGACTCACTAATGGGAGCCCATATATTGGCAACCCCCTTATTTCTATGGGTTATCCTCCTAACTCAGATTCTTTGACACTTAGGAATTAGGCGTAAAGCTACAGAAGTCAGATGTGATGGTAACACTAAATGGTAACTCTATAATTATACGTAAAAGTAAATGAAAAATTACACATCTCAGAAATATAATGGAACATTTCACAGGTAAAATTTTGTGGGAGTTTTTTGTATTAAAGCAAACAAGACTTCACCAAAGTCACTGAATTAAATCCAGAAAAACATTTAAATATGTTTATGAGATATAAGTAAAATGTATTTAGGGGCGTGGGGGGAAAGAGAAGAAAAGAGAGAGAGGAAGATATGGTGAAAAACTATGTATTTTTGATAAAGAATTTTATAAAAGGCATGAATATGGAAAAAGCGATGAATGTGACTTGCTCAACACTCCGTTCATAAAATATGTATAATGAAAGAAAAATTTTAATAAAACTTATTTTTAAAAAAGAATTATATTCTGAATGTTCCATTCAGAACTGAATGCCAATATAATTTGTTTGCATTTAAGATTTAAGTTTATGTATGTTTTATTCTATACCCACAAAATACTATTTTTTATTTTAGAAGAAAAGGAAGAAAAAATGTCCAGTTCATGGGTAATATAAATATGTGATTAGGATAAATTCATAGATTATTTATAGCATGAAGCTGACATCCTCCTCCTAGAGCTGCTTAGTCTTTCAACTATTTGCCTGGAAAGAGATGGGTGTTTATTTTTTAGATGAAAACTTGGATTTTATTAAAAGTTTTCAAAAGAGCGAAAAAAATAATAGAGTTAAAGAAAAAAAAGGATAAAAGTGCAGGAAAGTAAGAAAAGCAAAATAAATGGCCTCTCCCCCTCATGACCTCCCATCCTCTACAATTTTTTTCACCTCCTCTTAGGCCATTTCTCTTTACAAAACACAAGCTCCAATACACCATGTTTTTTTCCATTACAAATACCAATACTTCAAAAAAAGCCCACCCCAAGTAGCATCCTATTGAAATAAGCATTCCACATCTCAACCATAATCTATAATCAAATCAACATTTATATTTATGAATCCCAGTATTCCAATATTTAAAAAACCCTGAAATTTAGCATAATAAAGAAAAATAGTTTCTTCTTTAAAAAAAGTTCACCAAACTTTTTTAATTTGATAAGAATTATCAATAAAAAGATGGTTAAATGCAAAGCCAGTTTAAGTGTTATAAAGTTGATACATAAAGTAACTATAGTGAAAAAAACTTTAACCTTATTAAATGTAAAGCAAGTCCAATATATCACATTTTTCCAGTTATGATATCAATGAATACAAAAAGAGCCACCCAAAGTAACAACATATCCATGTTCCATTAAGGTTTTCCAATTCTGTCAGATTTGATGCACGATTCCCCATGAACCAAAAATGGACAATATGCATACAAGAAGCAGCCATGTAAGAAACTGCTACTCACCAATGCTAGAGTTGCGACTACTTCGGGGTTTGGCACATGTCACATCAGGGAAAAATATTTTCAACTGGGAATAGAGAAGAGTGACATCTTTCCCCCGGAATATCTGAAATGGTAGAATAAAATGCTATTTGATGTCTGGATTAGCTGCATTGTTACACTGTCACAGAAACTACAAAAAACTGAGAAGCAAGGAGTTCACAGGGGTATAATGAATTTATTTATTTATTTATTAGTCCAATTTATATGCCGCCCTTCTCCGTAGACTCAGGGCGGCTTGCAATGCATTATAGCAATAGCCTGCATACTTCTATGTATATATCTGCTTATTAGGGCTTTCGGCTCCCCCAAGCGGTGTTGTTCTATACAAAGCTGGCTTATTGCCCCCACAATCCGGGTCCTCAATTCACCTACCTGAAAGGATGGAAGGCTGAGTCAACCTTGAGCCTGGTGAGATTTGAACTCGCACTAATTGCAGGCAGCTGCAGCTAAGTGCTAGCACTTAACAGCATTTAGTCCACTGCACCACTGAGGCTCTGTAATCCAGGAACATCAGAGGCAGAGAGAGAAATCCAGGGCACCTCCAGAAGAAATCCAACCTCTCAGCTAGGTGCAGTAATTTAGTACTTCTAGCAGTAATCCCAATCTGAAATTCTGTGATTCCAAGATCCCCAACCCATCAATTACAATGGAAATGACAAAATACAGTACTGAAACTTTCAGAGGTCTTCATCCAACAATTGAAATCACACAGTTGCAACTCTTTGGATATTGATGACCAACAGCTCTCAACAGCTCAAGGCAGCATGGGCAAATAATGATCTGAAATCCTATCAAAATTATTTTGCTAGCCAAGGTTTGGAAGTACCTGCTATTCCCCAGATTATTGCTGAAATGCAGGCTTGAATAAATGATACCTAGAAGTGCTTTGCTATATCCAATAGCAAATAGTTGGTAAAATCAGGACCCAGATTGTTGGGGGCAATATGCTGACTCTGTAAACCGTTTAGAGAGGGCTGTAAAGCCCTGTGAAGCAGTATGTAAGTCTAAGTACTATTGCTATTATCTTTGAATTTTCCATGGTGTCGGGAAGAAATGTGGCTTACCTTAGCTACAAATGTCCCCCCTTTCTTTAGGACATGCGTAGTGATGTTCAAGGCCTGGATAAAAGAGGGGGGGAAAAACGTCAGTGGGATAGCTAATTCAGATGAAGTATTTTTAAGTATAGTTCTAGGATCTGCTGGTGTTGCTGTGGCAACAAAACTACCACTATCTCATAGTACTTCGGAAAAGAAGAGGAAGAAATTTAGAAAAAAAAAAAAAAAAAAACTCCCACAGCATCTCATGTGGTTTGTTTGGGTCATCAGACATGGGAATAAAAGTAGAATTATACGTACAGCAAGCAACAGCTGGGCTTGAATGTACTCATCTATATCATGGAGTCCAGTCACTGAAAGAACGAAGGAAACATTCATTAAGGCTAGCAAATGCAGCTTCTCCCCTCCCTCTCCACAAGAAAACAGATGTCAGCCTGCCCAAGTTGGCAGTCCCTGATAAGACTGGATTGAGACCTACCATCAGGGGCTCCATCACATACAACCAGATCGGCTGGTTGCCCCTCAAAATGATGAATGATTTCCTGAGCTGTTGAAACCTAGAAAGAGAAGAGGAACCATGGGAGGTTGTTTTATTTAAAAAAAAAAATAGGGCGCATATACTGCCCTGGGCTAGGATGGGAGCAGAACATAGGGTTATTTCCTCTATGGCTTTATTAGACAGCATGTACCTTGGTGATGTCCCCTTGGATTTGAATGACTCCTGGCAATGGAGCCATGGCTTGCAAATCTACAGCCACTATTTTGATATCTGCATTTTTAGGATCTTCTCCTCTGGAGAAAAGGAAAGAGGAGAAAGTAGGATGATGCTGCTCTCTCCCTGAGGGGCATAACCCTCAGCCACACAGAAGGCAAATTGTTTCCTTACTTGAGCTTTCGACTCAGAACTTGACTCCAGCTCCCAGGTGCTGCACAGAGATCCACAGCCCGGGAGACACCTGGAAAGGGCAAAAGAAGAAATCATTGCATTATTGCAATAGAACTGCCAGGAGGAAAATGACAAATGACTGCTTTGTCTTCTTGACATAAAAGTACGCTTTGTAAAAATTTTGGAAATATTTGCAAAAAAATAAAAAATTACAAAACAATTTGTAAAATTTTATTTTAAAAAATTGTAAAAATTGCAGAAGTCTTATCTCTGCCTCCCAAATATTATTACTTTTTCTGCAAACAAGTGGCATTCTGCACATGTTCAGTGGTAATATTTCTTTCTTGGATAGCTTGTTTATTTCAAGGTAATCATCACAATTAATATATGAGGTTGGAGGCACAAGCTCATAAATCTTGAAACATAAGGACTGTTTGATAACCTATATATTCTGTCTTCTGTAGCAATCTTAACTCCATGAAATTTAGGATCAACAGCACATGTACCTTATGATTCTTGACGAATATCTTTTCTTTTATGTACACTGAGAGCGTAGGCACCAAGACAAATTCCTTGTGTGTCCAATCACACTTGGCCAATAAAGAATTCTATTCTATTCTATTCTATTCTATTCTATTCTATTCTATTCTATTCTATTCTATTCTATTCTATTCGCCATTTTTCTTTTAATGGAAAGATACTAAAGTTTATAGAGTTACGGTTAAAAAGGTGGAGATCCAAGTTCAAATCCCTACTTGACCATTCCTGGATGACTTTGGGCCAGTTACTATCTCTCAGTCCAGCTTACTTCCAGGACTATTGTGAAGATAATATGGAGAAGATCATGTATGATCCTTATGTTCTTGAAAGACAGACAATAGTTAGAAGTATTAAACAAATCTCTTTTATAGCTTCATGGGATAAGCCAGGGATCTAAAATGTGTCTTTTTAGATGTGCTCATATACATATCTTCCAATGCAGCCCCTTCAAAGTGCTGGTGGTGGCTGGAATTATGCTGTATATATATTTATTTATTTATTTTATTAAATTTTTATACTGCCCTTCTCCTGGAGGACTCAGGGCGGTGTACAGCCAGAGATAAAACCCACAACAATATAAAAGTTAAAAGACGAATTAAAAATATTAAATAATTTGGCCGAAAAAAGCTAAAATAAAGACAACCCATTAAAATAGCATTAGGCCAGCCCTGCTTGGTGAAACAATAGCGTTTTGATACACCTGGGAAACAGCTACTTTCAATACATGTGTCAATCATATAACTCATGATGTAATCTGCAAGCATATTTCTCCCCCCCCCCACCTTGAAATAAGTGATATTCCTCATCCAGCTGCAGAAGTTTGAATGCGCTGCGAGCTCGCCACCCTTCTTCCTTGGCCAGACGGTAGTAAATATCGCGTTTGTCTTTGGAGGAGCGTCCCATCTTGCCTGAGGTGTAGTAGAGGGTGACTGCGGTAGCTGTTAAAATACCTTCGGATTGCGACTGTAATTTACACACAACCGAAAACCCTCCCCCACCCCACCCGCGCGCTCTTGCCGCAAAGTTCCGCGACAGTCGCAACAGTTACCCGGTAAAAGGAGTTATTGTATCGCGCTGCATTCTGGGAAATTTTTTTTTTTTTTTTTTACTGTAACTCTCTCGGTTTCCAGCGCTTCACGAGAAGATGACGTCCTACAGGACTTCGTTTCCCAGGGTGCCTCGGAGCCACGTGGTGGGAAGCGGGGCGGGGCCTAGGCATCGAATGGAAGATGGCGGAGGAAAGGGAGAAGGCCGCCGGTGTGCCAGCAGTTCCGGTGTCGTTCACTTTTTCTCGAACCAGCGGACGGAAGCGGTTTCTCCACGTAACCGGGCAGATTGGCGGCGAAGCGAAACAGGAGCCCGATTTCCTCTCCGCTGTTGAAGGGAAAGAATTGCAAAGGTGGGGGTTCGGCAGGGGCATTTGGTGTTTTTTTTGGGGGGGGGGGTGTCTGTGCGGTTGGGATTAAGCAGGCAGATCTGGCGGATCAGATCGAGCTTCTGCGTATGAATTCTCCCCCCCCTCCCCTCCCTGTACCGAAACCATTGACTTTCCTTGGCAGAAGATCGCAAAAGGGGATCACATGACCCCGGGACACAGCAACGGTCGTAAGAAGGAACCAATTGGCGGGCATCTGAATTTTGATCACACGATCATGGAGATGCTACAAAGGTGGTCACTGTGAAAAACGGGCACAAGTCACTTTTTCCAGTGGTGTAACTTTTGAATGGTCACTAAATGAACTGTTGCAAGTTTAGGTTAGGTTTAGATTTATTAAATTTGTATACCGCCCTTCTCCCGAGGGACTCAGGGCCGTGTACAGCCAAGATTAAAATACATACAATATAAAAATTAAGATGAATTAAAACAGAATTAAATCAAATTGGCTTCCCAAAATTTAAAACCCTTTGCCCATAAAATAACCCATTAAAATTTTAAGCCAGCCCTGCTTGCTGAAATAGGAAGGTCTTCAAAGCTCAACGAAAAGTACGGAGGTCCGGGATCAGTCGTATTCCTGGGGGTAGCTCGTTCCAGAGGGCGGGTGCCCCCACAGAGAAGGCTCTCCCCCTGGGGGTCGTCAGTCGACATTGCTTGGCCGACGGCACCCTGAGGAGACCCTCTCTGTGGGAGCGGATTGGCCGGTGGGAGGTTATCGGTGGCAGAAGGTGGTCTCGTAAATACCCGGGCCCTAAGCCATGGAGCTCTTTTTGAGGACTACCTGTACAGTACTCAATCGTGTGAGCTGTTGTTGGAAGAAGGTAGGCTAGATACGGTGTCAGTACTCTAGTGAAGATCAGTTAGTGCTGCCTAAGTGATCCTGTAAATTTTAATCCTGTAATGTTTTAATCCTGTAATGTTTTAATCCTGTAAGCGCGGCCGCAGCCAAAAAAAACCTAATACAAATACAATCCTTGGTTATATAAACAAAGGCAAAGAATCAAAATCACGTGAAGTATTAGTATCGCTTTATAAATCCTTAGTTAAGACCACATCTGGAACATTTCATCCAGTTTTAGTCATCACATTACAAAAAAGATGCTGAGAGTTTGGAAAAAGTGCAGAGAAAAGAAGAACTAGGGTGATTAAAGAGGAGACAAAAATGGTTGCAGGAATTAGGTTGGGCTAGTCTTGAGAAAAGAAGGATTAGGGGTGACATGACAGCAGTATTCCAGTATTTGAGGGGATGCCACAAAGAAGAGGGGGTCAACTTATTTTCCAAAGCACCAGAAGGCAAGAAACAATGGATGGAAACTAATCAAGGAGAGAAGCAACCTGGAATTAAGGAGAAACTTCCTAACAGTGAAGGCAATTAACCAATGGAAGAATTTGCCTTCAGAAGTTATAGGTGCTTCATCACTGGAGGTTTTTAAGAAGAGACTGGATAGCCATCTGTCTGAAATGGTATAGGGTCTCCTTGAGCCGGGGGTTGGACTAGAAGACCTCCAAAATCCCTTCCAGCTCTATTCTGATTGATTGATTGATCAATTGCATCCCGTTATATAGCCTGCCAAGTTCCTGCCCAAAAGATTTTGGAGCACCCAAAAATCTATTATTCCCTGTTACTCCAGTCTATCCTTTAGTAATGTGCAGGACAGAGAAAGGAGTGAAGGAATCATAATACAAACAAAAGATATATTTTGTCTTTTGTGAAATAAGGACATTACTGTAAATGCAGTGGTGTTAATTGCTGATCATATCAACAAATCCAGTATAAGTGGTTCTTGTTTCTTTTTTCCTACAAAAAAGTGTGTGTCTACCAGTGAATTTCACACACAAATCAAATAATCTACTTATTTTGGCCATCTTGTGCTCTTTTTCATGCCAAACAGTTAGGGTTATCAATGCTTGATAGTCACCTCTGCAAATTGATCTACTCGTGACATATCGCAATAAGGATTAGTTATGTCTGTAGCCAGGTAAAATCTTTGTGGGCATGAGATTTTAAGTGTAGTGATGGGCAAAAAAGGAACAGGAGTTGTAGAGGTTCCCTCTATCACTGTAATTCTTTCAGTAATCCATTCTTATACATAAAGTAATCATTACAGTACTTTCTTCCTGAGTCTGTTGCCTAAGTCTTCTTGCAGTGTGAAGCAATGAAAAAGAGTGCAATTTGTAACGTTTTTGCTGTATGCTCAAAATGACTACAGTTTAAATACTTAATATGGACATATTAAGTATTACTTGGAAATTTTGGTCTCCATATTGATGTAATTTCTTTAAGACCTGATTTTCCCCCCGCTAACATACAGTAAGGGCCATAGTTCTGTGAGAGGATAGTGCTTGACTAGTTTAGCCTCTTGAAACTTCTCCACAATGTATGTGAATAGAAAAACCCCAATCACAATTTTTATTGACACTCTTTCTTTCCCTGCAGTGTTCGACCAGCTCCTCAGCCAAAAGAGCTTGTCATTCCCTTGATCCGAAAGAATCAGTGGAAGAAGCCTGAGGTCTCTGCAACCCATCAGGAGCAGGATGGGCTAAATGGTGTTGATGCACAAGCAGTCAAAGAACTCATTGAAGGTGAATACATGACAGAATTGCAACTTTGTCCACTAGTAAAAAACAGAATATGAGATATTTTTTTTCCAGTTTATAATTACAGGAACCTGATATGGCAACTTCTAATAGACTAATTTAGGACTGTGGAGGAATCAACAGATTGTTTGTCAGTGATGTTGCTGGAAAATAATTCGGTTAGAACATAGTATCTCAAGGTTTTAGCCTGAACCTCCCTTCCATGAACATATACAACATCCCCATCGACTAGAAACATGAATTAGCATAATTGGGAGGAAGTGGGGAGGGAGGGAGAGAGAATCTGTTTCAGTCGCCTATTGAATGGTGATTCATGAATGCAGGTAATTAATTTCTAGGACAGTCTGTCCCACTCATGCTGACAGAGGAAGTGTGCTGTGGATCCCGTTGGTCAAGGAATTCTGGCTGGCAGGATCCAGGAGAAGAGCATTCTCTGCCATAGCCCCTGCCCTCTGGAATATCCTGCCCCTGGGGTGAAATCTCTCCCCACTCTCTTGTCCTTCTGTAAGAGCCTGAAGACCTGGCTGCCAGTTGGCCTGGGGACCCAGTCGGGAGGACCATACTGGAAGTGATCGTTAGACTAATAGCACAATCCCACCTAATGCTGCCCTCCCCAGCATTCTTCTCTCTCCCTGCACATCTTTTAATTATATGCAATTATATGTATTTTTATTAATGTTACATTTACATTTTCTTTTATAATTTTACATTTTTATTGTAAGGCGCTCAGAATAGTCCCGCGACAAGATGGGCAGGTGGCAAATAAATTTAATAAATAATAATATACTTTTTGGGTATAGTGGCGTTTATACACTGTTGACTAGAGATTATTAACGCTCTAATAGTAAGATAAACATTAAGCTTCGGAAGAATTAACTGGCTGGCTCAGGAATTCTGGGAGTTGAAGTCCACAAGTCATAAAAGGGCCATAGTTCCCCATCTAGAGGTATTCTTTGTAAGTACACCATTGAACTATAGTACTGTATACCTTGTGCTTGCATTTCATACTAAATTTCTTTTAGTTGCTGATGATGTATTTAAATTACCGTATTTTTCGGAGTATAAGGCACCTACCTTTTTTGGCGAGGAAAACAAGAAAAAGAAATCTGCCTCTGCCTCCCAGCAATTTTGCCTAGTTGCAGCAAACAGCCTGCTTTACTTTCATTTTCGTTTTCAGCATAGCTTGATTTGCACAAGGAAAAAAAAATCTTCTCCAGCAATTTACCTCCTTGCAGCAAGCAACAGGCCCCCACAAAACAGATGAGAGCAAAACAGCTGAGAGTCGGAGATTGATCCAATCAACTTGTGCTACTTAGGCTGTGCTGAAGCTGAAAGGAGCTGTTTCTTCTTGCTGCTTGCTGCAAGGAGGTAACGGCTGGGAGGCAGAGGCCAAAGCGTGGGGGCCAGTGGATGGGCAGGGCTACATTTGGTGTATAAGACACACCTAAATTTTCACCCCCTTTTAGGGGGGAAAAAGGTGCGTCTTATACTCCGAAAAATATGGTAATACCAATGCTTCTAAACCACAAACAGAAAATCTGGTTGTTGCAGGAGCTGTGAAGTATGCAATCTGATAAAACCGATAACTTCACTGCTACTTTCCTGATAAATCTATTATAACGAACATCCAGATCACCTTGGATTTGAGTAGCTCTTAATTTTCTCCCATTGGACCTAGGAAACAAATATTTGACTCTTGAGTTTTCTTGACTTAACTCTTATGCCTTGGTTCACTGCTATTTAGAATCCAAGAAATCACAGGAGCAATGGGAAAGTGGAAGCAAGGTAGATTCCAACTTTGCAATTCCTCTCCTCATGGTAAACCGTATGCCTGACGGCTTTGAAGATGGGGACAAAGTGGATGTCAGCCTCCGCCCAGAATCAGTAAGAATAAAACTGCATTATTCTGGACAATTCTTAGAATTCCTACTTCAGTTGGTTTAATTCCTCTTCTTTTTCTTTCTTTCTCTCTATATATTTTAATTTTGGCAGTCAACTGAGTCGGATTATGAAGAGGTACCAGTGGAAGCTTATGGTCTTGCTATGCTGAAGGGCATGGGCTGGAAGGCAGGAGAAGGCATTGGGCGCACATTTAAACAGTAAGGGTTCTTTACATATATGCTCATTATTATTATATTATTAATGTGTAATGTTATTTTTTTAAAGTAATCTAAATGAAATGCTTTAAAAATTCAGTCAAAAACTAATTTAAGAATATTAAGTGTTCCCGAGCTGTTGGAAGCAATATTATCAGATTAATTTAATTAATTCAATTCAATTTAATTAATTCAATTTAATTTAATTAATTCAATTTAATTTAATTAATTCAATTTATATGCCACCACTCTCCGAAGACTCAGGGCGGCTCACAATACAAATTAATTGTAGCAATAATATTAGCCACCACGTACATAAAAGGAAACTTGTCAAAATGAAAAAGAGGAATCCTGAGGGTCAGGTAAAGTATCAGAGGACTGGAGAAGAGCAGATATGTTCCTGTTTTCAGGAAGAGGGAAAGAGTACTTGGATAATTACGGATCAGTCAGTCTGGTTTATGTGTCAGGCAGTTGGTTTGAGAACATGTACAAAAGAATGCATTTTTGGCAGAAGTCACCATGGATCTGTTAATACAGGTTGTCCTTATTTAATGACAATGATTGGGACCATAGCATCACATGAGGATGTTGCCTTATGATGGCCATCCTCCCAGCACTTCCTCTTGAGGTTGTAAAGCAATTCTTCCATAGTTGTTAAGTGCAACATCATGTAGTCGCCATTTCCTACCTCCTAAAAGCTTTCCCATTGGCTTTTCTTTTGGGAAGTTGGCAGTGAAGGCCTGCAGAACAGTGTAACAACTGTAACTACTAGAATAGGTTGTAAGCCCCTCTTGTTCAGCACCACCGTAACTTCGAACAGTCACTGAATGAATAGTCATTAAGTGAGGACTATCTGTAATGAATCTTGCCATACCTTTCTATTCTTGTTTGATAGAGTGAGCGGCCACTTTATTTAACCACAGGAAAATGGTAGCCATAGTGTACCTTGATTTCATTAAATAATTCCTCAGGATCTTCCATGAGACTATAATAGAAGCAAGGGAAAGCAATGTGTATGCCTTTGGAAAGGAATTAAAACTTTTCATTGTAGAAAAGTTATTTGACAGAATGGGAAAGCTTTGGGCATGGGAACAAAGGGATTGGGTCACGTTCCTGGATGCCTGCATGGATTCTTTCCTTTCTACCTCACGTAATTGCACAGCAGTATAGGTTTTATTGCCATCAATTTCAAACCTTCACAATTACATTATTTCATATAAGTTTTAATTGCTTAAAAGCTGTTAACATTGTAAGAGGAGATGCTCAATTATTATCAACCCCATATTTCCTCTATAAGAACTTCATTGTAAGGTTTCAGGTCTGTGCTAAGCTTTGAACCAGGTGCTTTCATGTCTTATGCTATTTCTGATAGATAACATGAGTTTGCATTTTTGCAGGTATAGTGACCTCAGCTTCTTCCCTTTTATCCCATTGTTCTGCTTTGTTGCTACCTTAGGGATGTGAAGCCAGCAGAAAATCGTCTTCGGCCCAAGGGCTTGGGCCTTGGAGCAGATCGCTCAGCAGCTAAGGACTTGAAACCTTCAGGATCCCAGCGACCCCCAAAGCCAGGCGAGGAACCTTCAAAAAGCAAAGATGAGCCTTTGGGGTTGGTTCCAGGAGGTGCTGTTTTCATTGAAAGTGGGCCTCATAAGGAGTTGTATGGAAAGGTAAACTGACACTTTTCTTCAGCTAGTTGCTTTTTTGAACTGATATGAATGGAAGCCCACCCCCCTTATCCCCAAAGATGATTTGGGAAGTGAGCACAAGTTGAGAAATAAATCCCTTTGCTCTTCTTTTGGAATGGGGGGTGTCCAGTTTTCTCTGCAATCTCTCCCCCTTTGTCTTAGGTAGACAGCCTCTGCCTGTGTCCTAGTGATGAGTTTTGCTGTGGCAGTACTGGAGAAATATTTTTATTTCCCAAATGTGTATAATGCTAATTTCACGACAATTCATTTGCTTGTGAAATTGCTGTGCACACATAGGCTGTTCCTAATCTTGGCGTTGCAAGCTACCGAGATTTTTTTTTTTTATGAGGAAACTCTGATAAAACAGGGCTTTGAATCAGTTTGCAGTGCAGGCATAGCCTTTATCTGTCATATCAGCCATCCACATCTCATAGCATTTCTTTTTATTCATGTTTTATTGTATTTACTTTTCTGTTAAGAGTTCATAGTAGTTCTTAGGGAGCTTACTGTTTTATCCTCCCATCCTCTATTGCGAAACAGACTGAATTGGGAAAGAAATTATACAGTACCCCAAATTTGCCCAATGGACCCAGTGGGGTCCACTGGGGATTCGAATCTAAGGCTTCCTAGTCTCAATCCTGCACTAGAAGGATTATGCCACCATGCTCACTTAATGACTGGGCCCTGACTTGTGTCTTTTGTAGATTGAAGGTGTTGATGGAGATAATGCTCGTGTCATGGTGAAACTGGCAATTGGCAACAAAGTGGTCACTGTGAGTCAACATGGAGTACAGCCTGTTACCCAGAAAGAATACGATAAGCTGGCTAAAGACTTAAGTAAGTTAAAGTAGATTTCCCCATTGTTCCCACATAGACATCTGCTCTTTGGGGATGCTAAGTACTAATACTAGCTGTCCTCTCACAGCAGCCCTCCTTGTCAATATAAAAACCAAGTCATCTTGATTGCAGAACTTGGGGTAAAATATGTTGTAAATGTCTGTTCCCCTCATGGGTTATTCTCTCAACTATTTGCTTTTCCCCAGTACAGGTCGCCTCAGCAAGGCTCATAAAGAGAAGGAGGAGGAAGAAAGAAACGGGGCCAAGGACAGCTCTGATAACAGGGCCTCCAAAGGAAAAAACGAGAGCAGGGACAAAAAAAGGAAGCACCCAGCAGATTCAGACAGGTAAATGTGTCCTGCTCTTGCAAGTGCTGAGTGCTATTTTAAAGTCTATTAGCTACTGTATATGGTTGCTGGTGGTTTGATCAAGCATTTGCCCGAGTACAGCTTCCAATGGTAGTGAAGGGAGAAATGAGAAAAGACTTCACTTGGCTTATTATACAATTATTTAGAATATAATGTATATTAGTGCAAGAGTGCCTGTTCTTTGGAGATTACAGTGCTGATTCCAAAACATATGTTTTTAATCATTTTAATCAAATCCCATTTGGTGTCTTCTCATCTCACTATTTCTGTTTTCGATTCAGTGTAAGTTGCCATACTTAAGAGATCTTGCGAGTGAGCAAATAGAGAATTATCAAGAAACCAGTTCAATTGGGAAGCCTTAAGGCTAGAGTTTTGGCTTGGTTAACTTGAGAGCATAAAAAGGGAACAAAGAAACAAAATAATAGCTTTTCAACCTAAGAAGCAAATGAGAGAGTAAATAGACACAAATCTGCAATTGTGAGCTGTAGTACTTAGGACATGCTTCCTATCTCATAGCAAAAAAAGCCAAATGGTCCCACTTCAGCTAATGAGAAGATAGTAGGATTTATCATTTCCTTCTAGACTAATGGACACAGGAAGCAGTGATTCCTAAGGAAGATAGTTAAATGGAGAAAAAGTCCAGGGAATGACATGGAAGATAATTTGTATCATTGGAGCTCAAGCCCTATGGATGAAACAGCCACTGAGTATTTATTTTAAGGGAAGGGAAGGTCAGGTCAGATCAGGTCAGTTCTGGACATCACACTTTAAAAAGGATCCAGAAAAACTGGAACAGTTTCAGAAAAGGATAACATGGATGATTGGGGAGCAGAAACTGCATGAAGCTGTATGAAGAGTGAGAAAGATTTGGGTTTCTTTAGACTTGAAGAAAAAATGACAAGGGAAATAAGGTAGCCCTCTGGAAAGGCATTAAACAGAAGGTGGCCAAGACCTATTTTTTCTTTCTCTCTAGACAGGAAATAATGGATGTAAATTATAAGAAGGCAGTTTTTGAGTGAACTTTAGAAAAACATCCTGACAAGTGCAGAGAGTTTGACAGTAGAACCTTTGGTCCAAATGCGGGCTGGTCTTCCCTTCATAGGATGTACACAAGCAAGGGCCAGGTAGCCATCTTATTGTGTACATTCAGCTTGCTTTAATCTGAATTATTGCACCAGGTAGGGATTAGGTGATTGCCTAAGAGACCATTGCCAACTAATAATTCTTCAATAATTTCTCTTATGCCCACAGGGAGAACCATACTGGGAAGCAGAGTAAGTCTGGTGACAGTTCCTCTTCCAGAGCTGCTCACTGGTTGCGCCAAGATCTGCGAGTCCGTTTTATAGACAAGCTCTACAAAGGGGGCAAATATTATAATACCAAGGTACATGCGGAAACCTGCTTCTCATCGTTATTAATACAGTATTACTGCCTGAACCTAGAGTGTACAGATTATACATCTAATTTTATAGTGTTGTAATAATTTTTTACAGTGTGGGTGAAGAAAAGGATAAATTGCTGTGCCAACAAACCAAATGTCCCAATTGGCATCTTCCAGATATGCTGGGTTCCTAGAATTTCCATCCGGCATGGTTGCTTGCTAGGAACTTTGGGTGTTGCATCTGGAGAACACCAAACTGGTGAAGGCAAATCTAAAACTGGTGGGAGAAGCTAATGAAGGACTACATGACAGTTCTTTGAACTTTGCCATTCAAAACTTTTTGAGACTATATCATAAATGCCTTCTTAAAAAATAATATGCTTCTCTTCGTTATTGAGAAGAGGTGAAATTATTATGTGGACAATTGATAGAGCTGGGAGGTCAAGTCAGTTCAGCTTAATTCTCATTAGGCAGCAGCAGAAATGGAGGATAGCTTTTCATCTTTGCCAGAATAGCAGTATTCAGTTTGGCTCATGGCGTCATTATATCCTGAATAACAATCTCTGCAGAATTTACTTGCAGTGGTTTCAAAAGTGCCATGTCCTGCAGTGGTAAAGATCCTTCTCAAGGTTGTACTTTTGCAATATTTTGTGTGGGGAGTTGAATGCAGTAGAAATGGGGGAGCTCACCAAAGCTTTTCCCCTCAGAGAAGGAGCCATTTCTGAAAAGCTGTGGGGTTTTTTTTCTCTTGGAGCTTAGTTGTATTGAAGTGATGGGTAGAGATAGAGATACCAAGCTTCAATATTGCCCAAAGAAGGAAGGTAGGATATTATCGAATAACTATTTGATAAAGTAACTAACAATTCTCCCTATGAGAAGCCGAAGGCCTGATTTTGTCAGGGAGAAGCCTGTGTCCTTTCAAGGTATGAGTGTTTGCAGCTGAGGGCAAGTTCCAGGCAAAGACTGCTATAACCCACTGACCCCACTGTTAGGACACAGAAGGTATGAAATCCTGTGGTGTTTTGTCTCCAGATGGTAATTGAAGATGTCCTCAAGCCAGACACTTGTGTTTGCCGAATAGCCGAGGGACAAATTCTGGATGGTGAGTGTATTAGTGCTACTGCTTAAGTCTGAGACTCAAGACTGATATTTTCTGAACAGCATCTTTAACTTGTTGATTATGGAGAAAGGTGTCCAATTTTGGTGCAGAAGTTCTAGTGCTTCCAAGGAGAACATTTGTGATTTGGGAACCCAAGTTTCTGAAGGAAGGTTTGCACTCTTGTCAGCCTGCCCAAATGCTAAGCTTGTCTATTCTTTTCTGAACTTCTTTTTTCTCAGAGATGATTTATAGTGATTTTGTCTTTTACTTTTGCTACCCTGTCTATGATCTCAAGACACTTAAAGTTCTTGTCCTGCTTTTAACAGTTTGTTTTGATATTTTTATAGATAAACATTACTGTTCGATTTTAAAATCTTATAATAAAGAACACTGTATATATCAGTATATGGAGATACAGGTGTTCATATTTAAAGAGACTTTCAATGCATAATACTTTTAACGAGATTTTTTTATTTAATAGGACTATCAACTGATAGATTATCTGCAATGTGCCAAATTAAGCAAATTAATTTGTGAAATGTACAGAATTTCAGTATATCTGCTTTTTTGAGATACTGATAGAAATAAGAGCATTTGCAATGTTTTTATTTCTATAATGCTTGCTACTCTTGGTAACAGAATTACTTTACTCTAGTTTTTTTTGGTTCCAGCTGTGGTAATGAATCTGAGCCATTATTTTATAGTCTCCCCTGATTAACAGTTTCTGCTAAAATACTAAAATATCCTCCCACCCAAATTTCAGTTGATCTGTCAGATTAGGTACTGCAATACCTAACCCTGAAAACTTTTTAAAAAACATAGTAGGTGAAGGCGGAACATATATAATCAGTTGTGTCCAACTCTTGATGGCTTTATAGGCAACTACTCTTCATGCAATCCTGTCAAGCACATTTCTTTCAATTGTCCATCTTTATATTAGTTCTGATGGCATCAAACCAGAGAGTTCTTTGCTTGCCCTTTCTTCTTGACCCACTAACCATTCCTATCATCATTGACTTCTCCAATGAATTTGCACGTATGACATGGCCAAAGTAAATCAGACATAGTCTTGTAATTTTGGCTTCTAGTGATGTTTTTGGTTTTATTTATAAATAAATAAATGTTTCTGGTTTAACCTCTCTGTTGGTTGCTCTGGCTGGCTATGATATAAGTCATAATTTATGCCACCACAGTTCAAAGGCATCCCTACATTCAGTTTTTAGCACAAAAGGCTTTACATTACCACTGAAAATCTGGCTCTAGTTTGGAGCATCTATCGAAAACTGCTCCAAAACTTTCAATCTATCTATGATAATTGGGAAGAAAATGGTGTGAGATGCAAAGTGCTGCTTAAGGGCCATTTAAAGTAGGATAAGAAGATACCCAAGTGATGGTCAGGTTCCTAGTTTCACTTGAAATTAGAGAAACTATGTTTGAGAAATTCTCTTTTACGCGATTTTTCGGGTAGATAATGAAAGAGTGATATTTCAGGTAATAGTATTAATGACTTCAGGTTCTTGCTTTGACCTCTTTTACAGGTATCCATGAGTCTATGCTGGAGACTGTAATTCCTCGGAATGATTCCGACTGGGTTATGGTGGTACTAGGGGAGCATGTTGGAAGGGTAAGTCACTAATCCAGTGAAATGGAACCTGGCTAATTTCTCTTAAGGCCCTCAAATTTCATGCTATAGAGACATGAAATTGTTTGTTTGTTTGTTTATATTTATTATTAAACATGTATACTACTAACACAATGGTACATTTCAGGGATGATAACCAATCATTTCAAATGCAGGTGATCCAAGGTGCGGTCTCACTCTTGTGGTCAACATTTTGTATTACCTCTTATATTATCCTATAATATTTATCATGCAGATTTAGGCAGATAGTAGTTATAAAATAGTGAAGCTTAGCATTGCAATGGCTACAGACACTTTATTGTTCACACTATTATAAGAAGCTTCACTTCCTTTCACTAGATGGGTAGCCCTCAACTTATGACCAGTTTCTTAGCCATCATTCTAAGTTACAACAAACCTCCCCGAGGGTACTTGTGACCTGGTTTTGATGGCTCCCCACCACCACCAACAGTCAAACAACTGCATTTTGGGTGTGTGACAACCAGTCTGCCATTTGTAGCATCCCATAGTCACCTAACCACATTTTATAATGTTTTTGCCAAAAAGTGGCAGTTTCAGCAAAACTAACCCATAGCGAGCTGTTGATTTCCGTTAGGACCACAGCACTTGAATAATAACCTATATAAAAACCTTGTAAATTTGGGTGGATCATATAGGTAATCCACTTTATGACTCTCATGACTTACAATCGTGATGGGCACTCGTAAATCAAGGACTACCTATATGTATTTTTTGAAACAATTACAAAGTAAACTAAAATGCGGCAAATCGTATGTGAGAACAAAGATTTAATAAGGTTTGGGGCATCTTTTTTTTTTGGCACTGCAATATTACATGAAATCGAGTTATGCTTACTACTTGTAAGGGTTCCTGATCACTGGCATTCCACAATATTTGGAGTTCCACAGCTTGCTCACACCTGGTATTCTCAGGTGCATGCTTTTCTTCAGTAAAAGAAACACTAATCTCATTCATGCTTTTTCACTCTTAGATGGGCCGCATTCTGCGTCGAGATAAGGGACAGAATCGTGCAGTGATACAACTACAACAGGATGAAGAAAAGCTTCTGACCCTGGATTACGATGCTATCTGTCACTATGTTGGTGGCTTCGAGGATGATTGAGATCCACAGCTCCTCCAAAAAAGAGACCATCTACAGATCAGAGGAATTTCTCTTCTGAGGCTCAAGATAAAGAGCCCAGTTCATAATGTGGCATCTCAATGGAGTGGTGTTGGAAGTATTAAGCATGACAGACCACACCATGGGCAGCCTTCATATGCACAGCAATCCATGATTCATATTCAGTTATTTGGCTGGGTTTTTTTTTTCTAATGAAGATTTTAGATGTGCTGTTACTTTTGGTTAGTGACATGTACAGATCTCTGAATCAATGATGCTCCAGAACTGCCAAAGACAAGAGTGATCTAGTAAAGGCACTATGTGGCATAATCAAACAGTTGCTGGTCAACTCTGGATCTAGAGGACTGAAAATTAAGCCACCCTTAGCACAAAGATTTCTGATTTAGAAACTAGTGGTTCATGGACTTCCATTTTAAATTATTATTTTGGATGTGGAGTTTTAATCTCTTAAGAATAGCTACTGCAATTTGTGCCATCTGCTGAAAATTTGGGATGAAGGCTGGTAAAATGTATGTAAGAAATAACTTGCTCTTCAACTAAAATTTTAGGATGGAAACTGGAACCAATGTATTTTCCTGATTTTTTTCAGGATGGTCATTTTTTATTGAACTTATATTCACAAAATCCTGAAGCAATTAGTTGTCAGAAAAGAATTGCTACACTGTAGAAGTTTGCAAAAGTTATTTTATTGGAAGAAACTGACAAGATTACAAGGCATTTCTGAAAGAAGGAATAATACTTACAATATCCTGGAGCATCTATTTTCATCATAGACCTAAACATAAATAAGCATCAGAAATGAACGTAGATGAACCATCTCTTGGCAGGTGTCCCATTTTGCTAAAACGAATAAGTTTGTGTGTAAATTTCCCTCTCAAAATGTCATGTAAAGTTACTGTCTGTTTTTCCTGCCACCTGTGTAAAAATGAATACAGACCCAACTACTATGTGTAAAATAACTTTCTTAGACTTCGCTGATAGTTTACTCTTTTTGGCTATAATATAAGTAAAGTCTTATTTTGCCTATTCTTTGTATGATTGTTACTAAAACTGTGATCAGTAAACTGCACTGTCTAGGGTGGTCTTTAATTTCCAAAGCAAAAACAATTAATCAAATACCTGACTTATTGCAACACTGTTGAACAACCTAGCGCTTTTAGGTTTTACAGTTTTCTACTACCTTATCTCAACACTTATAAAAAAAATTACAAATAATGAAAGAATAGGATGAAGGCATTGAGAAACAAAAGGATCTCTAATAGAAATAAAAAATGTTTCTCTCCTTGCTTACCTCTCCAAAGGATTGTATGTTCTTTGCTATTAAATAAGCCTAAGGGGACTTTATGTTGATTTGGGATTCTCCTACCTTTAAGAATTGAGCAGTTCAAGACTATTAAAGATCATAGAGTCTAAAGTGCATCTAACCTATATGTTAAGCTAGCTGCAACTGCCAGCTGTTCTAGGACTGAAGGATGCAGTTTGGCTTGTTCCCTTGTTCAGAGAACGTTTTGCTGGAGATAAATCTGGCCTTTCCATTATTTTGTGAAGCAAAAGGTGCTTCTCTCTCCTCTCTATCCATACCTTTCTTTTTTATGTTGTGCTTCTGAGGATGAGCGCTGTTAACTGCGTTTTAACTACTCTACATTATTTAAGCTCTTCATAAACACATTTTCTCTTTGGTCCTGGCCAATTTCTTTTTTTTTTTTTAAATTTGATTTATATGCCACCCTTCTCCGGAGACTCAGGGCGGCTTACAATGCGTTAAGCAATAGCCTTCATACTTTTGTATATTTTTACAAAGTCAGCTTATTGCCCCCACAAACTGGCTCCTCAATTTACCTACCTTAGAAAGGATGGAAGGCTGAGTCAACCTTGAGCCTGGCAAGATTCGAACCTGCAGTAATTGCCGACAGCTGGAGTTAAATTACAATGCATTAATCTGCTGAGCTATCCAAGCTCCCGCAACGGGACAGCTGAACGACTTGCTTTGCCAGTCTCAAAAATGGCCGCCTTGAGAAGAGATCCGGCCGCTTCCCCTGTAGCAAGAGAAAAAAAACCCCGTATGTTCACAGCTCGGGGCTCCCTGCCAGTTTCCAACATGGCCGCCGAGACTTTAGTACTTCCTTGCTTACGTGAGCGCTCTGTGCCTTGTCTCTGTGGTCTAACGGAAGTAAGCTTTGGGCTGCCTGCTGTTGTTTACCGCACGGATAGCTGGTGTCGATGTCAATAAAGTGGGGAAAGGTAAGGAATCCTCCAGGTGAAGCGGAGGGAGGAAATGTGGGGGGGGGGGGGACTTCAGGCGGGCTTCTTCAGATTTTTAGGAAAGAAACCGAAGTGGCAGGTTCCTGTATCTCCTCTATTAGGACAGACCGAGTTGAACAATTTTGGGAGGGGTAGCTCTGTAACCTTGCCGGAGTGGGAAGTAGGTCTGTGTTGTCCGAGAAGACCTTGCAGGAGTGTTGGATACTATGAACCGTTGCATGGGAAGAGAGAGGAGGTGGTGACTGTGGGGATCTGATAAGATCGGGTCCCTATTAGGAGAGAGAATCGTTTCATTGCTGGTGGGGCTGTAAAAGAGATCCTGACAACAAACCCTGGAGTCAGCCCAAGAAGAAAGAATGGCAAAGGGGCTGGTAACTGAAGGGACTGGGAATTCTTATATGGAGACAGATATGAGTGGCAAAGGTATCTTTTGGGCAACCTGGTGCCCTTATGGCAGAGGTCTTCAAACTTAGCAGCTTTAAGACTTGTGGACTTCAACTCCCAGAATTCTCCAGCCAGCTATGCTTTAAGTTGAAGCCACAAGTCTTAAAGCTGCTAAGTTTGAAGAACTCTGCCTTATGGTGTGGTCTCTTCAGCTGAGATGACAACATAAGTAGGGAAGCTCCTACGTTCTTAGGACCTGCCAAAAAATGTCATCGGGGCTCTTTGCCCTTCCGCTGGCATCATATTTCTGTGTTGATTTTTGTCTTTCTGCACGATGACAGGTACCTTATTGTGTAACGGAAAAGAAGCAAGAATATCGTGTGCCTGCCTCAACTGAGGCTGCCCCATCAAGCTCTTATGGCTCAGCAACGTGGGGTCAATAGCCTGCGCTTCAATCAAGATCAGAGTAAGTTATTGAATTCTGCCGAATGTGTTCCCCAGGAGGTCTGGCACTCTTTTATTAGGGGGTTGTAACTTGACAGTCATAGGCCCTTCAAAATAAGGGTTTTGAGACGTTTTCAGCTCATAAGGTGATCTCTAATCCCTGCATTTGAGACTAGCCATGTTAGAATAGAATAGAATAACAGAGTTGGAAGGGACCTTGGAGGTCTTCTAGTCCAACCCCCTGCTTAGGCAGGAAACCCTACACCACTTCAGTCAAATGGTTATCCAACATCTTAAAAACTTCCAGTGTTGGAGCATTCACAACTTCTGGAGGCAAGTTGTTCCACTGAGTAATTGTTCTAACTGTCAGGAAATTTCTCCTTAGTTCTAGGTTGTTTCTCTCCTTGATTAGTTTCCACCCACTGTTTCTTGTTCTGCCCTCAGGTGCTTTGGAGAATAGCTTGACTCCCTCTTCTTTATGGCAGCCCCTGAGATATTGGAACACTGCTATCATGTCTCCCTTAGTCCTTCTTTTTGTTAAACTAGATATACCCAGTTCCTGCAACCTGCAACAGTTCCTGCAATGTTGATGGAAATATACTTTTTTTTTTGCTAGGAAATATATTTTTTATTTCAGGGATTTTTGGGCTGATAGTCTAATGTCACTAGTAGATTACGGTCTTCATTTTGGCTCCAGTGAATCATGATGTTCCCAATATACCACACAGTTGATCTATGCTCTCTCATAATAGGCTGTTTCTGCTGTGCTATGGAGACGGGTGTTCGGATCTATAATGTGGAACCTCTTATGGAGAAGGGCCACCTTGGTAAGGAGGAAAGAAGGCTAAAATGTAAGACTGTGGGATATCTCTACTCTTGTGCAAAGAGTCCTACAATAGTACCTCTTGTTTTGTTTTGTTTTCACCAGATCACGAACAGGTGGGCAGCGTAGGGCTGGTTGAAATGCTACACCGATCTAATCTTCTTGCTATTGTAGGAGGAGGTGGCAACCCTAAATTCTCTGAGATCTCAGGTAGGTATTCTCAAGGGAAGAAGTGAAACCAAAGCAAAGGAATCATGAGTTGTAAATTTCAGCTATAACAGTGATACACAGAAAAGCAAATACGATCTCTAATTATCCCCTAACAGGGACATATCTTCTCCCTGTTTCTCTATGTCCTTGTTGATCTATGTCTTCTGTGTCCTCGTGTTTCCATTGTAGTCTTGATCTGGGATGATTCACGTGAAGGGAAGGAAGGCAAAGACAAATTAGTTTTGGAGTTCACCTTCACCAAACCAGCATTGGCTGTTCGCATGAGACATGACAAGTATGTTTGGAGTTCATTTACTTTTTACTGAGTCCAGAACATGGATAGGATGCTATATCCTTCTGCTTATCTGAATTTGATTGCCACAATGCATACCTCTTGTTACAATATTATATTTAAAGTCCAGTTATATCCATGCAATTTGTATACAATAAAGTCTGTACTGGCATCATTGATTGAAGCAGAAAAAAAGTAATTAGAACATTTGAATGTGTATCAATTTATATTCATATTGACCCACTAGTTGGAAACAAATATAAATTTGTAAAGATATACAATTCTAATTTAATATTTTATCTTGTTTTCACTCTGTTGTAAGCTGCCTAAAGCCTCTAGGCAAGATGGGTGGCATATAGATGTAATAAATAAATAAAAATGCCTCTGCAGCAATATTCCCTAATACATTTGTATAATACTAGAATGGTGATGTAGAAGAAGTAGTAGCAGACCTTGGGACAGAGTCAAAAGAGGAATCGGCCTAGAACAGGGGTCAGCAACCCGCGGCTCTGGAGCCGCATGTGGCTCTTTCATTGTCTCTGTCACTCAAAATATGCATCACAACCGCCAATGTGTGACACCCGCTGGCACACAATTTATTGAACTTTTCAACCCCCGGTAGGTCAACCATGGATAAATCCAAGAAAAGATTTACCCCATACACCCTGACTCATACATATCCTGTGTTGGGCATTCCATGGCCTCACCCACCACTCTGAGGTACCCCGTGCTCCTTACCTGGGACTTCATCTGTTCAGCGATCCATGAGATTAATAACCACAGGGAAGTGCCTTGATTGCAGTTTTGTGACATCTCGCTTAACAACTGGTTCACTCAATGACCAAGATTCCAGTCCCAATTGTAGTAGGTCAAGAGCTACTTGTATTCCTGTATTATAATTGCATACCCCTGTATTATCTTTGCAGAATAATAATTGTGCTGCGGAATCGAATCTATGTGTATTCCTTCCCCGACAACCCCACTAAGCTCTTTGAGTTTGACACCAGGGACAACCCCAAAGGTAAAATGAACCTCACTCACTCAGTGATTCCCTCATTTCACTCCTGTTTTCCTTTACTTGAAAAACTGAAGGACCTGCTGCTCCTTCATATTGCATCAATGTCCAACTCTGACAGATGCTTCTCCGTTTTTTGTCTATCTCTCACCTCAGGGCTTTGTGATCTCTGTCCCAGTTTGGAAAAGCAGCTCCTGGTTTTCCCTGGGCATAAATGTGGCAGTTTACAGCTTGTGGTGAGTGTTTTGTGGTAGGGTGAGGGAGACAACAGGATAGACATGAGAAAAAATCAATAAATTTTACCATGGCCAATACCAAAGGGAGACAATTACATTTAATCTCATGTAAGCTAGTGAAAATGACAATATTTCTTCATAGGCAGATAATAACCATATCTGATACTAAAATACTTCAGAATCTTGTGCTATTTCTCATACAAAGTAACCTGTACAGGTAGCACTCGATTTAAAACCACAATTGGGACTGGAATTGTGGTCCCTAAGCGATGTGGTTGGTAAGTGAGTTATCACATGACCAGATCAAATTTTACGATAATTTTAACATGGTCGTCAAGTGACTCATGTACTATTCAATGAATCCCATAGTCGTTAAGTAAATCCGGCCTCCCCCAGGG